GCCCAGCATGGGAGTGATAACTTTAAACTCATTTTCTTACTTTTTGCTTTTTTCTTGGTTACAGGTCTGACGACATAATCTTTGAGTGTCACGTAGGCCAAAACAAAATAGAAACCAAAGGCTCAGAACTATTATGTTTCATCTGAGATCCCCTATCTAAGTGAACGTTGAAGCCAGAATACAAGTCCTACTCTTGTTAGCTGTATGTTTAACACACACAATCTTTAGAACTTACACTTATATGTCATATTGAAGTTAGGAATATTTGAATGAGATTCAAACCACGTGTAGGCAAAACTCCAAGGTTCTGAGCAGGCTGTTTCTTATTTATACCAAAATTTAGGTGTGAAATATTTCAAAGAGAAGCAGCTACCAGTAATATCTGTGAGGTCAGCATTCTTATTTTTGGTTGCTAGTGGGGCTTGAATTCAGGCCTGGGCACTGTCCCTGAGCTCTTTTGCTCAAGGCTACTGCTCTACCACTTTGTGTCACAAACTCTGTTTCTGGTTTTCTGTTGGTTAATTGGAGATGAGTCTCATGAACTTTCTTGCCAGGCAGGCTTTGAACTGTGATCCTCTCATAGTCTCCTGAATAGCTAGGATTACAGGTAAGAGCCACTGACACTTGGCTCAGCATTCTTATTTAGAAATACAACCCTAACTCAGGGAACATTGGCTATTCTTGGTGTCAAACTGCACACACATTTCTACACACCTTTCCCCACCCTGCAGCTAATCGCTGAAAAGAGAGTTTTCACAGAATGGTCAGAGGAGACCAGCTGATGGGAATTCATGGTCTTTCTTCCTTGCTGGCTTGTTTTTAAGTCTCTGTACTTGTAATCAGTCATATTGGCAAAAAAAAAAAAAAGACACACACCAGTGTTACAAAACCTTGTATTAATCATTTCCCTTCACTTTCAATATAATGTTGATATGAAATATAGCCATGATTCTTAGTTGCATGGGAGGAAATGAGTAATAAATACATTGTAGCAAGTTTAACCACAAGGGTGTTTCACTGGTAACAACATTTGAAAACTGTACACTTGCAAAGAATGGCATCTTCAAACATTAGTATATCTGTATATCAGTAAAGCTTTTACATGTAACAAACATGCTCTTTCCATATATGACAAATTTAAAAAATATGCATTGCTTGGCAACATGAACTAGGCAAAAATATTTCTCTTGTCACTAACTTTATACAGGAAAACAGGACAAAAGGCATGCATGCATGTACAATACGGATGCCTGCACGAAGCATGCAACAAAAGAAAAGCTTTTTAAAAGTCAGCTTACATTAGGCATAAATACATGGAGGGTTATATATTAATAAGGGAGGAAGTCTTCTGTTTGACATTATTAACATTCCTGTTTTCTTCCGATTCCTCCCAGAGGAATACACATTCACCTTTAAGTAAAGATAAAGGAATTACAAAAAAAAAATAAAACTCACTTTGCAAACATCTCTGATGACTTATAAAAAAAGAAAAAGAAGAAATTAGTGTTATCGTAGCTCCATGTGCAAATGATTTTTCTGCAGCTTCTGCTTCTAACAAGCACACCCAAGCACCTGGGTGAGATGGCTTCTCTGTACCCAGGCTGCAGCAGAGGGGCCACCCCCATGGGGCATACAGATTCCTCCTCTCTCTGCCTGTCTGGAGGCAGGCCCATGCATGGAGCCCAGCTCAGCCCTCAGAGCAGGCTCTGGGGGTAACACATTGACAAACCTCCTGGCTGCAGTAGCTACGAGAAGTGCAGAAAAACAAAAGACCTGGAGAAGGCTCCCACATTCTGTCAAAGGCAGCCGGCAACACCTCAAAAGAAAACGTGGTTTCCCTCAGTGTTGCTTCTGATGAATGGGAGATGGAGCCCAGCTGTAGGCTCCAAAAAGGAACCCCTGATACCCAGGATCTGAGAACTAGGTGCAAGCAGCAGCCCTCGGCACGCAGATCCAGCAGTGTCTATTTTGCTTGCTGGTTCTTGTTGGAAAAAAAGAAAATTAAATTCAAAAGCATGTGGGAAAAAAAAACACATACGAGCAGCAATATTTCCTGTCTTGTACACAGTTCGTGTGTTTCTTCCTACTGTTTCTCGTGAGAAACCACTATGAATAAAAAGCACCAATAAAACATCATACATGAAAAGAATATCTTAAGACCACCGTCCCTGGGACAGTGCAGAGATGTCAAGTACACATTGCTTAAATCAGAACAAAGTATGTGTGTTGCGGGGCGGGGGAGGGGGTGGGAGACTCACGTAGTGAAATATATTTTACTCTGAGATTTTTTTTTAAATTGTTGACTAGTTACTTAATATAAAACAGTTGCATTTTGGTGGGGGAGGGGAGGTCAATGGATAAATACAAAAAAAGGCACTGCCGCTGAATTACTAAATATTCGACTCCATAGCCTGACGCATGCAACTGTTTCTTTTATAAATAAATTCTTTTGCTTTAGGATTTTTTTTTAAATTGAGCTGTATTGCCTGCAGTCAACACAGGACTCAACAACGTAAGGACAGGCTCCTAGAAATTCATCAGGACACCCAATCTAAAAAACAACAACAAAAATGAACATACTAATCTAGCAAAACAACTAAGTAGACAAATCTCTACACAGTTCATGAAAAATAAGCTTTTCTTTTTTGTTTTTAAAAAAAGAATTATGTTGTTATTAATATCAGACTTTATCATGGTTACCAGCCATAGCAATAAGTAACATATCCAAAATAATATCTGTAATAATTGGATAACCATTGTTTCTATGTTCAGTGAAGGAATAGAAATTCAGATTCACAAATATTTTAAGGTTTTCTTCCTTTTAAAGGATTCATGCTAACGTGATTGTGTTCACAATCTGTTTTCTGAATAACTCAAGTCTCTATGGATGTGTGTTCTGCAGCAGAACCCAATGCGTTCCCCTCTCTCTCTGAGCCATGTAATACTATTGCTCTCCTCTCAATTAACTCTCTCCACATCCCTCCATACACATCCTCAATCCCTCAGGCCTCACTTTTGGCCAATCAACATTGTGATCTATTCTTCCTGCCTTCCACCTGCAACCACCCAGCCCAGCACATTCCTCTACACAAGCTTGTTTACAAAAAGGACATGGAAGATGGATGTTAATGGCACTTAGTTTAAGACTCAACTGAAAAATGGCTGCCTCTTTCTGAATATGGATTTGCATCTTCAGGATGGAGTGAAGAGAGGTCTGAACCTTTTTCTTCCTCCCTTTGTTTTCAATGTACTTAATAAAATGGTAGATTCAAGCTTTCAGTGCTCAGGAAAGGCTCTATCTACTTAAGGTACCTTCAATGTTTTGGACTGCAAAAAGACTTTGACAACTTTACTGCAACATCCAAGGCTGTTGAGCCATGTGTATTTTTAATCTTAAAGGTAAAAGAAAATCATTTGGATTTTTATTAAGGACCCTTAAATCCGTGTTCTTCTTCATTAACTTAAGAAAAAAAAAACCTACCATAAGCGAGCAGTCATTTTCTTTAATTTTAACTCTAACATCACTTTGGAGAAAAAGGGGACCAATCTTATCCATTTGATAAACAAGCCTGAGCTCGCCTCTGGCTGACATTTATACCATCATTTACACCACCCAATTTTCCAGTGCACAGCACAATTTCTTTCTGATTTCCTCTAATACCCTCCATTGCATCAAATTCCTAAAACACTGTCTTTCTTGCCCTTAAGAAATAGAGCTATTACGCTGTTGTACCACAGTTTGTTAATCTCTCGCTGTGTAATGAGTGTTTCTTTCTTTTTTTCCCCTCCCTTCTGTATGGGGAGAGAAATTAGCCAACAATAGAGTAATTGCTGACTTACGATGTATTGCGTAGGGCCATTGTTTCTATCATGACATTAACTATCCCTCTACTTTCACCCACTCCACATGCTCTCTGACACTTACTGACCGATCCATAATACACGGTTCTTGGGCCTTTCTGCCCTCCTCAGCAGGGACTGAGTAGAGGGGTTGGACTCTAAAAATCTCAGGTTCTTGTGAACCACTCCATTATACATGTTTGGAGCTTGTTATCTGGGGATAAGACCCCTTTGCAAAGAAAAACCATCCATCCTTAATTTTCTTCCTCCATTAGAACCTGTACCCACCTGGTGATTGTAGAGAGAGACCAGGAGGGTGGGAATGAAACCCCTGGATCAGGGGGAAAGAAGATTGGTCTTTGGATGAGAAGCAAATCCAGCTCAGAAAGAGGCTACAAGCTTCGTCTGGAATCACTGGGTGATCTGTGAGCAAATCCATCTCTGATCACAGGGTGTTCTCATCCTTGTGTGCTTGCCTAGTGCTATGCCCATTCGTGCTACATCATCCTCATCCTTCAACTCTACCCACGTGCTCCTCCACCTAAAGGTGAAAGACAACAACTCAGGCCTACATGACTGCATCCATCTTCCCAAGAAGCAGCGTTTGCTTGGCAGCTGTTTGAAAAGACAACCCTGCTGCTATTATAAAAATAGAGAAAAAAATGAATCCCTAACAACAATAAACCCTTTACAAAAACCATAGTAGGAAGAGAAGTTCTACCCAAATTCTTTACATAGTATGTACCCTTTTAAAGTTCTTATGTAAACAATACACAAATCAAAAGTTTATCTGAAATTTTGCTGGAGGGAATTTCTTCCTTCTTGCTCCTGTTGTCATGTGGCCCTCTCCTGCAGCTTTCAAAGCAGGGGCCTCTGGGAAATTCCATCAGGGGAGACATACGAAAGGTGAGCCGCCATATTGCTTTGGTCGCATGTATCCATCATCTGTGGCCTGACAGAGAACTCGGGCTGTCTGAAAAGGCTCCCCAGGGCTTGAGCTCTTGCCTCTCTCCTGTGTCTCTCTTGTACCTCTTTCACGGCAGGATTATCCTCCTCCCTCAACTCCCTTCCCTCCCAGTCCCATATTTCCTTAGAATCCCCCTCCCCTCCCTGCACACCAAACCATCCCATGACAGAGACAAATGACAACATCACCAATCCCAGGTCTACTGATATGTTTACAAGGATGACCTACGCTCTCACAAAATCAAAATGGGCGAGGGACCAGGGGGAAAAGACTGCAAAGTATCTTGGAGGATTCTATGCAACCCTGAAGATGTCTGACACTGGGCCCGCAGCAGTCGATTTCACGGCCAGCGCGGTCACTCTCATCTTCAGCTTTTAGATTGTGGAGGTTCGGTCAACCCCATCTAGAAAAGAAAGAAGCACACAAGAGACATGGGTGACAGTTCCCAGTCAGCCCACTAATACCAGTACCTTGGGCCTCTCAGCCTCTTGAGATAGATTAATGCTTTACTCATTCATTCAACCACTGGGAGTAGCCATTTTTCCCCCTAGGAGCCATATTGAGTCTGGGCTCCAAGATGAAAAGACCTAATAATCCTTCCCTCCCAAGTGCTTACCTTCTAGACAGGATGCAGACAAGAGGAGTGATAATTTCTATAAAGGACTATGGTTCAAGGCAGCAGGAACATGTAGGATGTCTAATGTCCTTGGAAATCAAGAACCATCTCAACAACTCCTCATCTTCTGTGTGCCGTCTTTGTGTGATAACTGGCTTTGAGAGAATAGGTGTGTGTGTGTGTGTGTGTGTGTGTGTGTGTGTGTGTGTGTATGTGTGTATGTAGTGTATTCTGGCTGGGCTCCTGGAATATTCATGAATGCCAAACCTTCACAGATTTGGAAAGCTGAAAACATGGAAATCTCACCTAACCCAACTCAAGCTGCATTTTCCCCTGAATTCCAACCCTATGATGCATCTCTGCAGGGTGACTGTGTTCATCTACAGGACAGGGCCAGTCAGTCCAGGGCAGCTATTTATAGTAGTGCACTGACAGCTTTCAAGGGATACCATTTACATGCAGCCATCATAGATTATATGGTCCTTTGGGCAAACTTCCAATACACACCATTTGTACAATCTCCATCTTGGCTACAGTGAGTTGGTAAGTCCCATGGAAGGGGAAGTAGAGAAGGTGAGAAGGAAGAGCAAGATGAAGTGCATATACAAGAAATCAGAGAATGGACTAGGTCCTCTTCTCTACAGCCTCATTTCTGTAGTCAGAGGTATAGCTGCACATGGAGCCTGTCTGCAGGAGGCAGCGGCCATGACTGGTGGCTGTCTTCCCAGAATGCCTTGGACTGTGCATTAGGAGGGAAAAAATCGCACAGAGCTGGATGAAAGCCTAAATAATGACTCACAAACCAACATGGCAGATACCAAGCACCTGGGCTGGTCATCAGGATGGAGTGTCCCAGGAACTTGATACCCTCTTGCTAAGGTGCATGCATTTTCCTTTCCCTTACTTATTTGTATTCCTGTAAAATGACAATTCATTGGCATTTGGTCCCCAGCAAGATCAACTTCCTGGCACTAGAATGGATTTGGCTTAGAGACAGGTAGTCATTGTGGGAGGGCATACTGCCACTGTGTCTACCTATGCTACCTACCCTGAATTTAATTTGCATTCTCTACCCAGGTTAAAAAAAAGCAATAAAAGAGCTGGGCCCTGATGGCTCACGCCTACAAGTCTAGTTACTCAGGAGGCTGAGATCTAAGGATCGAGGTTCAAAGCTAACTTCTGTGAGTCTCTTACCTCCAATTAACCATCAGAAAACTTGAGTGGATCTGTCTCTCAAAGTGGTAGAGTGTTAGCTAGTCTTGAGCAAAAAAGAACTCAGAGACAATGCCCAGGTCCTGAGTTTAAGCCCCATGACCAACAAACACAACAAAAAAATAATCAGTAAAAGGTTTTAGGAGATGAATAAGATGACAACAACAACAAAAATGGAGCAAAACAAAAAAACAACAAACCATCAGTTCAGAGAGGTATTCTGTAAAAATAGAAAAATGGGCTAGAAAATGAAGTCATTTCAATGCAATCTCCCTTTAATAAAGAACATCTGGCATTCTTGTTACTAATGATAATAGTGTACTTAGCAGTTGAATAAGAGTGTCCACATGCCAATTATCCATCAGGCCCTGGGGAGTCAAACATGGAGCTGAGACTTCTCACCCCGCGGTGAGCCAAAGAGCCCAGGGCTGGAAATTTGCTATCAGAGGAATCATAGGCTATGGTATTTATACCTGCCTTGTTCTCTTGGCGGATGTTTTCAAGGTCCATCCTTACAGTAGCATGCACCGATACTTCCTCCTTATTCATGCTACTGCTATACCTCATGTTGCTGACCCAAATACAGATATATCAGATGCCTGGCTGTCATTCTTCCTTAGGGGGCTGCTGACTTAATCTTTTTTATGCCAGTACTGAACAAGCTTGAACTCGGGGTCTGAGTACTGTTCCTTCCCTTTTTCAGTCAAGGCTGGTGCTCAACCAACTTGAGCCACAGCTCCACTTCCAGCTTTTTGGTGGTTCACTGGAAATTAAGTGTCTCATGGACTTTCCTGCACAGGCTGGCTTCAAATCACAATCTTCACATCTAGCCTCCTAAGTAGTTAGGATTACAGGAGCGAGCCACTGGCACCACACTGCTGACACCATCTTAATAAGATGGAGAAGAGCAGCTAGTGCTGCCTCCTGCCAGAGGTAGCAGGGATGGTCCAAGGGTGCAGTAAAATGTCTAGGATCAGCACAGTCAGGGAGAGAGCAGTGGTTTGCAAACAGGATTCTCCGGAACTCTGGGGCAAGTCCCAAGAGAAGCTAGATCTTTTCACTGTTTGGCCTGAAACCCTGCGCAGTCACCTTGGCAGATGGAGGCCATCAGCTCCCCGGCCCCTACACTGAGGTCAGGTGGATGAAGTTCCGGACTTCTTACTGTGCATCACGTATAGAATTTATCTATTTCCTATTTGGTTTCAGGGTAAGATGGCGTTTGAACACCATCTTTAGTCTACAGGGATTCAACATCTCAAACCTCAGGTATAGACAAAGCTCTTGGCAGGGGTAGTTCACAGAAGCCTTCCTGCCCACTGCTGCCAGCAGGGGCCCTAAGTGGGTGGCTCAGTTCTTGGCCTATGACCCAAGTCGCCTCACTGGCTGTCTGTGGTGAAGATAATTGGGGACATAGCTACTTTGGGGGGTACCTCCTAGGTGCACTCTGCAGCCCACGTTCCTGGCTCTGCTGCATGCAGGACACATGGAACCTGTTCCTGTCCCTTCATTCAGTGAAGGACAGTTCAGACTGTGTGGGCCTGCAGGCATCATGCAAGCCATTTGCAACAGGGAGACAGGAAAACAAGCAGGGATCTTTGTTTCAAAAACGCTATTTTTAGAGTATGTTGGGATATGCTTGGGCCAGCCCTGGGGATCCAGCCCTGGGGAGGAAAGCAGCCAGGGCTATGGGAGACGTTTCCACTAAAAGCTCCATCCTGTGTGCCCGGCACTTCCAGTCCCTGTGTGTAGCTGCAGCAGTGGTTGTGGTGGGTTCTGGTGTGCTGCATGGGACCCTCATTGTGTCTCTGGTCTCCAGGTCTGGGACTTGCCTTCCATTGAGGCCCCCCCCACCAGCACCCCTGCCAACTTCTCCTTGTCCCTTTCCTGTTCCCCTGAGCTGCTGTCCTGGGGACCTACAGGGGACACACTCACCTCCCAGGGCATGCTCGGTCATACTGAGACACAAGGACTCCAGCCGATTGTTGATGTCAGGTTCAGTCACAGGAAGCTGGAACTCTGCAAGGGACCAAGGGCAATGTTGGTGATGGGGAGTCTGAATCGTGCACAAGGCCCTCTAGCTCTATCTGCTAAGATGAGGGTCTGGTATCCCTCCCTCAGATGACTCAGGAACAACCTTCAGGGCCAGTATGAAGGACAACCAACCTCTGAGTGTTAGACATAGTCCATCCTGGGCACAGGTGTCTGGAAGAAAACTGGTGGCTAAAAATAGCCAGTCCTAGTCACAGTCTATCACTCTCATTCTGCTCAGAGCCCTCCAGCAGCTTCCCAACAGAGTAGGAGCCAAGCCCCGGGGTCATGGCCAGCAAGGCCCCATATGATCTAGCCTCTTGACACTTCTGTCTTCATAACCCCCCTTCCCCCCCTCCACCGCAGCCTTGCTCAATCCTGAGCCCATTTCTACCCCAGGGCATTTGCACTGCTGTATACTCTGCCTGGAATGGCAGTCCATGGATGCTCTCCTGGTTTACTCTCTTGCTGCCTCCATGGTTCAGGTTCTACCATCTTCTACTGTATAGCCCTATACGTCCATACATTATCCCTTCCCCTTCTGTCTTTTCCTTCCTGGCCCCCATCCACATCTGACATATTGTGTTCCTCCCGTTGAGTGCTCCCATCTCTGGAGTAGGTCTTAGAGTTGCTCCCTGTGCCGCCAGCCAGCCTACGGTGTTTCTGCTTCATTCAGAGTTACAGGGTAGGAACCTGTGCCTCTTCTCAATGTGAGATCGCTGGACGCTTTAGATGCACCAACTCCTTCATCTGCCCAACAAAATGCAGTTCCTAAGTGGGACTCCGAGAGGCTCGGACACCCATCAAGGCCAGCCAAGCTGACACAGATCTGGGACAAGACCTGGATCTGATTCCAGAGTCCCTGTCCTTTTGCAGGTGGCTGCAGGTGACGGTCGCCACTCCTACTTCAGTAGGAAGGCTGAGGGGCCAATTGGAGCAGACACTAGGGTTCTGGCTCCCACCCCCTACCACGCCATCAGTGCCTCCTCCAGCTCCCCAGCGGGAGGCAGGCTGTGGAGCCTCCTCTGCTTTGGACTAGGGCTCTCAGGCTCAGCAGCCGTCCATCCCTCATCCTACAGGGCCTCCACATGTCTCAGCTTCCGCAAGCACCCGGCAGACAGCCACAGTGATTTCCTAGCTCTGCGGGTCCCAACACACCCAGCCCAGACTCTGCACAACTCACCAGACATATCTGTACAGCAAGGAAAAGGACAGGATCAACAAGTAGAAGGAACCAGTTACTGGTGGCTCACATCTGTAATCCTAGCTACTCGGGAGGCTGTGATCTGAGGATTATGGTTAAAAGCCAGCCTAGTTAGGAGAGACTGTGAAACTCTGATCTCCAATTAACCACCAGAAAGCAGGAAGATACAAGTAGGAATGCCAGCTGAGACACAGAATCCAGGCCCTGAGAGTTCAAGCCTCAGTACTGGTACACTGGCAGCCCCCCTACTCCTACCCCGAAATAACCTAAGAACTGTGAAACCCTGAGAGCCTGGGGGGCAGAAAAATATCCCAGACATGGGGTGTGGCCCAGGTGACTGAGAATTCTCCACAGTACCACTGTCTTCCTCTGTGACCTGGGAAGCTGTCTCTGTCCTTGGGTCTTAATTCTACCTGATCCACTTCAGGAAAGGGAGAGGGAGAAGGGAAAGCAGGGGGAAAGAGAGGAAGGGAGAGAGGGAAGGAGGGAGAGACAGAGGTGTGGGATAAGCAGTGGGATAGGAAGTTGAAACCAATGACTAAACCAGAGCATTTGTTTAGCGATTCATTACAAGCTTCTTTTGAAATCTGGGTTTCCCATTTCCAGCTAATTCAGAGGCAGATGTCGCTTCTATTATTTAAAATTCTCAAAGAGAGGCTTGGCCAAAATGGATTGATAGGAGTGAGCACTGGGGAGCAGTTAGTGCTCTTCCGGTTACTAGTTCCAGCATGGATGGCTTTCGAAGGCCAGTGGGCCAATTCCTGAGTGGCTGGGTGCCAGTGGGGTGTCCAGGGAAGTTGGAAGTCAAAGGGAATGGCAGGAATCTCTCCTGCCTCTATCCATTAGTTGCTGCTCAGAGCAGGGGTGCGGGGCAATTAGACAATTCTAGAAGGCAGAGTATTTTCATATTTTCATCCATTCATGTGAAAATCATATGCAGGCAAAAATTAGCAGCCTTTGGGGTGTGAAATCTATAAAATAGAAACACCATTTTATATATAGCTAGTTAGCAAATATGAAGGGAAAAAAAACAAACCTCAGCAATTATAACCACCCATATGCTCATTGTAAGACTGCGTTTACTCTCTGGTACTCCCCTTTAAACAAACACTGTGGAGAGACTGGGATAAATAAAGATGCTCGACATTTGCAGAGAAGTGTTTCAGCTGCAGGATTTCTTGCCAACACACAGCAAAATGCCATTTTTCCAAGCCTGACTTTCGTGTGTTCCAGAAAGAGGGGCGGGGTGGGGGGGGGAGAGACTGTGAAACACAGGGCTCTCTGCTCCAAAATCCCCAAACCGCCGTGGCTGCTCTTTTAGGAAGTGAGTGAGTCTGCGGGCTTTGTCATCCCCCACTCTTCACTCTGCTATGCTGGGGAGCTGTGACCCACCCGCTCTGGAAGCAACTCTGGAACAAGCCCACGTGTTCACCTAGCAGGTTCCTAAGGGTGTAAATTGTGGTTGTTTTTGTGCTGGCACTGGGGCTTGAACTCAAGAGTTTTAAACTCTTGCTTGGCTTGTTCAAGGATGGCACTCTACCCTTTGAGCCATACCTCTAGTTCAAGGCTTTTTCTAGCCAATTGGACATAAGAGTCACGGATCTGTCTGCCTGGGATGGCTTCGAAACATGATCCTCAGCTCCTGAGTAGCTTAGGAGGACAGGTATGAGCCATCAGCGCCTGATTGTGAACTAACTGTGGGTTTAAAAACAAAATCTGTAAGTTGTTGTACAAATGAGTGTCCATGCAACAACTGTGTTTTTGATAAAGCCAGGTTCATAGCAACTTGTTGCACACAGAAACTGTGAATGGCTCAGTAGGGAGAGTCCCAGAAGGACATTTGGTGGCTCATGGTAACTGCCACCTCACCTCTGCTATGGCTCCGGCTAAGCCAGAGGGCTCCACCGAGGCAGACCTCAGCCTGGAAGAGCGGAGGAGCTGTCCCTCACAGTGCCTTCTCTGTGGTTGTTCAAGGCAGGCCTGTCTCCATAGCTCAGACGCCATCTTTAGCACCGGCTGAGTCACCGTGATTCAGAGATCTGAGTTTACCCAAAGTTTCATGTATCTTGGAGTCTCAAGATTTATTATGCTTTATTAGTAAAATCTCTGAAAATATTCTTACACCCCCTCCCCCTCAAACAACAACAACAATCACACCCTTCCAAATCGGAAGAACTCCCAGTTGCCAACATTTCAGACAAGAGATAGATGCTCAGCTTGCCCTGGACATTCTTCTTTGCCTCAGTCTTACATATTGCCAGGATTTAGTGAGGAACTCAGGAGCCAGACTAATTTGAGACTTCTTAACTATGTTTTTTTCATACTTCCCCACAAGTACGGAGTAGCCTAGTCTCAGGTCCAGGGGCAAGAATATTCCAGAAGGGAGCATCTTTCCCTAAGAGGTATTGGTCCAGGGTCCACTTGAGCCTGTATGGCACATTGACACTTGAGGTGTAATTTCTCAGCATTGTCTATGAGGCATTGAAGCTGTGTGAGCAATTTTTTCCTTCTCTTCTTTGTTCTTTCCCTCCCTGCCTCCTTTCCTTCCCTCTCTCCTTCTTTCCTCTCGCTGGGCTCGCTGACTGATACTCTACTACTGAGCTGTACCTCTGACCAAGAAGCTGATTTTCTTTTGTTTTTCGGATTTTAGGACAAGGCACAGACAACCTTTAGAACGAACCTTTAGAACCCCACTTTGCCACTGCCAGTGCAGCTCTGAGTGTGGGTACATAAGAAGCAGGTTGTTGGAGAGGAGGGAATAAGGCGGGGAGACAGGCTGACTGTGAAGGGGACAGCACTGGAGCTCCGCCATGACAGATTGAGGTAGACGGTTGACAAGGCAAGGTGGACACCAGGAAAGGGGGCAGGCAGGGAGGTGGGTCCAGGGCAGCAGGCAAGCTGAGTATCATGGAGCTGGCATGGCAGGTGGCAGAAGAATGTAAGGAAGGAATGGCACCCCGGAGGCTGCTGGGGGCAATGTAACTTTCCTCTGGCGGCCTCCTGACCTCTGGGAGTCACCTTGGTGAAACACAGTGGATATGATATAGCACCAGGTGACACGCTATCAACTTTACCCCATGGGGACATGGGTCTCATGGGTTCTTGGCTGTGCTAAAAAAGACTCATTTGCCAAGGCAAAAGGTGAGGAGCAAATATTTACTAGGTAATTTAAAATATGTCCTGTTTGGGGGCCTCTGCATGATATCTCCTTTCTTCGTCTTTTTCCCCAGTGGATCTGGGTTCTAATGGCATGCCTCCTCTCTCAGCGCTTCTTCCACTATTGAAGTTTGAACACAGCGTCTTGTGCTTGACATGCAAGTGCTCTATCACTTTAGCCAGGCCTTCAACTTTTTTCTCTAGCTATGATGATGATGATGACTGAGCTAGTGCCCTGGACTTGAACTCAGGCCGTGGGCTCTGTCCCTGAGTTTTTGTGCTTAAGGCTAGCACTCTACCACTTTGATCCACAGTGCCATTTCCTGCTTTTTGATCGTTATTTGGCGATAAGAGTCTCCTGGACTTTCCTGCCAGAGCCGGCTTTGAACCTTAATCCTCCAATCTCAGCCTCTAGAGGAGATTTTATAGTATTACAGGTAGTAGCCACCAACACCTGGTTTGTAGTTATTTTTCGCATAGGGTCTTGCATTTTTCTCTAGCCTCAGACTGCAGTCTTCCTACCTCTCCCTTCTGCATACCTGGGCTAACAGCGGGTACACCACCATGCCTGGTTTGTTTGTTGAGATAGGGTGATTGTAAGTACAGCTGGAATCCTCCTGATCTCTGCCTCCTGAGTAGCTTTCTCGGTACTCTTTCTAAAGGCAGTCCTTTGCTAGGAATCTGAAACTAACGCTGAAGAGGAGAAAAATACGATCAGGCCTAGTGTGTTGTACTCCAAGGTGTGCAGCATTCTAAGGAAGGAAGGATTTGAATCATATGCCAGCACCTGGAGGGGCTTTGCTGTGATGAACAGAGCATCAAGAGCAATACCATCTTATCCTTCTCACATCCAGGTGTTGTGGTCCCAGGACTGGCTGGCAGGTGGTTATTATACAAGGAAAGAGATTTCCAGAAGGCAGGCCTGTAAGGCTGCCCAACTCATTCTGTTGGTGGTTTTCTTGTGAAATCTACTCTAAGGCTTCTCTGACCCTGGGGGAAGAAGAGACTTCTATAGTCTCTAAGATCCCAAGAGCAGCTGAGCCTGGATCAGCAGGAACACAGCTGCTTCCAAGAGAGAAAGAATCACTCTCTGAACAATTTCCCAACGGGAAAGACCCCCTGGCTCTGTAAACAGCTGGGCACCCGGGCTATGTCACCCTCTTGGTGAGTGTCTTAGACCTTGTGCTTCTCTGTTCAAAAGGCCTAGCTGAGGAGAGGGGGTCTATCCTCCCAGGGGCCAGCAAGATGCAGGAATCGCTGCATGGCGCTCCTGCTGGTCCTGAGACACACAAAGCCTAGTCAACTAGAAATAAAGTGAAAAGCCACCCAGGATGGACCAAGGCACTTTGGACTCTATAAGAGCCAGGAGAGAACACAGCACCTTGGGCACCTTGGTTGACTGGTTATTGACCCAACTTGGAGCTGCATTCTAGCTGCTATTCTCTGGAAAGATCCAAAAGCTTCCATTGTAATAAGATTATTTGTAAGTTCCCAGAATCAGCACTTTCTCAGAATGCATTGTATTCTTTAAGATTTGGCCAGCGACTTCAAATAGATGCTTTTTGCAGACACCTAAGAGCTGGTAGGGGTGGGGGGTCGATTCAGGGGTGGGGGGAGAAGACTCCCTTGTATTGTAAGGCAGCTTTCTGAGTTTTTAATTTGGAATTGATCATACATCTCTATTCCATTTTGCATTCACCATTCGCATGAGCATGAAAGCTACTTTCACTCTTCCTGGTGTCTGCCATCTTGAGGTAATACCTGTAGTCCAGTCCTAGCACCTGGCCACCAGCCCCAGAGGTGCCCATCGCTAACCAGGTGACATTGCTGTTCAGATCAAGGCCCTTCTGTCTTCTGCCAGACACCTATTTCTCTGAATTAGCCTTATCTGGGCCAGGCTTGGAGGAAGAGTGGTTGTCTCTGTGGAGAGGCTGCCTCCTCCGGAAGCAGGAAAAAGCTCCCAAGGTAACTTCTGGTCTGACAACGGATGTGTTTTTAGCAAGGGCAGAAGATATAATTGCAGCCAGGGGCAAGGGCTGCAAAGCAGCCCGACTGTGTAGTCACCTTGCTCTTCAGTGAGGGGATTTGGGGTCTGCCTCACCCATCAGGGCCTCATCCTGAAAGGAGTCACCCAGCATGGTACAGAGTACTGGACAGCTCATCAGTTTATCTGCAATCCAGAAGCTTGGAAAATTGTTCTCTTGCTTTGGACACTATTAGAAATATTGTCATTCTCAGCTGGACACAGTAGCTCATGACTGCACTCCCAGCTACTCAGGAGGTAGAGATGGGAAGAATCAAGATCGAAGGATCAAGATTCAAAGGCAGCCTGAATCTATCTCCACAAGCTCGGTGTGGTGATTCATGACTGTAATCTTAGCTATGTGAGAGGCATAGATACAAGGTCTCAGGATTGAAGTCTAGCTGGCGCCAACAGCTCACACCTGTAATCCTAGCTACTCAGGAGGCTGAGATCTGAGGACTGCGGTTTGAAACCAGCCCAGGCAGGAAAGTCTGTGAGACCCTTACTGCCATTTAACCACCAGAAAACCAGAAATAAGCACTGTGGCTCAAAGTGGTAGAGCACAGCGCTCTCCCTAAATGCAAAAGGTCAAGGACTGTGCCTAGGCCCTGAGTTCAAGGAAAAAAATAAAAAGGATTGAAATCTGAGCCGTGCCTTGAGATAAAAAGGGTCAAATTGCTTTTGAGAAAGAACCTAAAGTAAAAAGGTGTGTGTGACTCCAACAGTAGAGCACTTGCCTAGCAAGCACAAGGCCTTGAGTTCAAACCTCAGTTTCACCAGGAAAACCAAAAACACACCACTGATGCTACCAACTACAACAACCCACTGTTAAGGCCTAGTTGGAGATGCTGAGGCAAAAGATTCATGGGGGGGGGAAGATGAAATCCCAAGGGCTCCAGAATTGTAAGTTCCAGTGTGTTAAAGTGAGTTTTAGAGACCGGTAGGTAGTTACTTTGCAGGAAAACCGAAAATAGACTGCTTTAAGTGACCACCTCTGGAACAAGAGCCTGGGGAATGGATTGGCTAGGGGAGAGTGGGTTCCTTTTTCCTTAGGAGCCCCTCTGTGTCATTTGATTCTTCAAGCACAGGGATAATAGGCTCTGGAAAATAGGAGGGGATAATAAGAGGGTGAGACTGCTCTGAGGCCCTAATGGCCTTCAGAACGAATGGCCACTTGGCAATTATGTGCTTTAAGACAGTGGGGAGAAACCAAGGTATGGGCTAGAATCCAACGCAACAGACTCCCAGTGACCAGGGATGACCCCGCTCATACAATGGTGACCTCCTGGACCTGCTTTTCCCAGTGTAGCTGGGGGAAGCTCAGGGAGAGTGTAGCAAAAACAATGAGGAAGATGGATGGCTGGGGAAAGAGACTCAGGAAGGAAAACAGGCCAGAAGTAATCAAGAAGGCCATCACTGTGTTCCAGGCTCCGTAGAGGTTCCCTGAGACAACAGGACAGCCGGGATACAGGCCTGGGATTGAGAAAGGTGAGCCCCTGGTGCCTGGGACAGCTCCAAGTCTTGTCCAGGTGCACTTTTTATTGGAGATGGATGCTACATAATTCTGCATGCACAAAGGGTTGGGCTCCGTGACGTAGAAAAAAGGCCTTTGCAACCCTAAATTTGAAAGCATTTCTTCTCTGGAAAAAATAGCTGCCAGTATGGAAATGGAGAAAAGAGGCTTTGGAACCAAAGGAGAAGAGTTTTAGAGTTAGGCAGAGAGCAAGTTTCCTAGGTGTGGGGCCCTGTGGCTGATGCTTCCTCTCCTGACCAGCCTTCTCCAGGGGTGCATCCTCTCTCCTTAGCATCTCTCCTCCCCCCTTCTTGCCTCCAGGGTACCTCTCCTTTGTACAACCCTGCATGACCCTCATGGAGAGGAATCATAGTCTATTTAAGTTTGAATCCAAAGTCCCCAGTCTGAGCTAACAGGTCCTTTGGGCTCCTCCTTGCTACCCCAGCCAGACTTGTGGGCCTAGAATATGACATATTCTTTATTCCGTGTGTGTGTGTGTGTGTGTGTGTGTGTGTGTGTGTGTGCCAGACTTGTGGGCCTAGAATATGACATATTCTATTCCGTGTGTGTGTGTGTGTGTGTGTGTGTGTGTGTGTGTGTGTGGCTTAAACTCAGGGCCAGGGTGCTCTCCTCCCTTAGCTTTTTCTGCACAAGGCTGGCATTCTACCACTTGAGCCACACTTTCACTTCTAGCTTTTTTTTCCCCTGGTTAATTGGAAATAAGAGTTATGGACGTTTCTACACAGGCTGGCTTTGAACTGGGATCCTTAAATCTCAACCTCCTGAGAAGCTAGAATTACAGGCATAAGCCACCAGCTCTGGGCCATCTCTGGAGTTGTCTCTAACTCTGCCTGCCCTTTCCCACTTTGCAATCTGTCTCCTGAAACTCAGCTCCAATTCCAAGAAGCTTCCTGGGCCACCTGAGGCCACCAGCCAGGTTCCTTCTTTAGACTCTGGTAGGGCTTGCTGTCCAGGGTCCTCTTACCACCTCTGGTGGGCATTTCCAGTAGGCACCACACATCTCTTGTTTGCTGCCTGGCTGGCAGAATCTACCTAGGTGTTGTGTTGTTTGTGTGGTTCTGCATTCTTCCCAAGAATCTGGAGGTCGCTACTTGCATAGGGAGAGGGTTCAAGGAACTGCTGGCAGTGCCTAATTCTGGATACCGCATCTTAGAAGGCAGGGTGTTTGGTGGAAATTGACTTGAAGTGGGCCAAGCTGTTCTTAAGCCAAGCAAAGGAAAGATGGCTGGGTCTGATGAGTATGGCTTTCCAAGACAATCCCAAGCCAGCATCACTAGAAGCAAATTTTCTCTGTCTCATTCTCACTTTTTCTACACACACACACACACACACACACACACACACACACACACACACACACACACACACGGAACCCCTCCAGTGATATCTCTGGCTTAATCAATCAATCTAGGAATATGACGCATTATCAAAAACATCCCTGTCACATTGCACCTGACTCTGAGGCTCCACGGAGCTGGCTCCCAGCCAGGCCGCCGCTGTTCATGCTGGCAAGGCACGGTTTAAAAAAGGAAAGACTTCTACCAGCTCGAAAGAATGCGTGGTGACAGTTGAGGCTCAGCACTTTCGGGCTGGGTCACCGGGGCATCTATTCTGGCATGGTGGGGGGGGGTGGGAGGAAGGAAGGGAGAAAGCTCAGGCACCCGCCGGGCCCTACCTGGCTGTTGGAACATCAGCATGTTCTGTGGTGAAGTGTGCACGGGCAGCGAGCGGGTCCTCTGCACCGTGCTGTGTGTGCGGCTGGGCATGCTGTTGCTGCCGCCTGGGTTGGCGAACCACAGGTTCTGGAGAGGAAGACAGAGGGAAGGGGGATGGGGAGGGACATTAGTCTAGACACCCTGGGACAAGTAGGGGTGGGGGGAACAGGCTCCCCCCTCCTTCAGAGTCCCGGAGGCAAGGCCCCGGGGGACTGGGCCATCTAATGAGGTTTAGGGAAGGCTCTGGAGGCCAGAGCTCCCCATCTGTGCAGTTCTACCAAGAGGATTTTGCACATTTGCCCCTGCATTTGTTCACGGGCCCCCTCTCACGTTCCCTGTCAGCTGTAGCTTCTGCTGCCCCCAGCTAGCTCCCCCCATCTCCTATACTGCTTTGACTACATTGGACACTCTTCCCTGTCACTTTCCAGGGAAAAGGGTGGAGAGGAGTTCTAGAAATGTTTGCAACATGGGGCTGGGAAGGTGGCTCAGTGGTAGAGCACTTGCCTTGCATGCATGAGGCCCTGGATTCGATTCCTCAGCACCAAATATGCAAAAAGAAAAAAGCCGGAAGTGGCACTGTGGCTCAAGTGGTAGAGCACTAGCCTTGAGCTGAGGGACAGCGCCCAGGCCCAGAATTCAGCCCCACAACCAGACCCAAAAAAGAAAAAAAGAAATGTTTGCAACAAGCCGGATGCTGGTGGCTCCTGCCTGTAATCCTAGCTACTCAGGAAGCTGAGATCTGAAGACCCTGGTTCCAAGCCAGTCCAGGCAGGAAAGTTCCATGAGACTCTTATCTCCAATCAGTCACAGAAAAAGCTTGAAATGGAGTCTCAAGTGGCAGAGTGCTAGCTGTGAGTAAAAAGCTCATGCCCAGGCCCAGAGTTCAAGCCCCAGGACTGGTAAAAAAAAAAAAAAACAAAAAGAAATGTTTGCAATAAGGAGTAAGAAATGACAGGACTCTTATTTGAGATGCTTCAGATTGATTCTATGACCAACCTTTAAGGTGAAAAGTAAGATCTGAGCTAGCAGCAGGCTGGCCCAACTCAATTCCTATGTCCTGGAAGTGACCTCCTCTTAACTGGATTTGGACAATGATCAGAAAATGGGGCTTTCTCAAGTCCTGGGCTGCTCCTGGTAGTGGTGGGAATCCTGCCCACCTGTCCCGGAGTTCATTTTCTGGCTTATAAAGCCAATCTCTCACCCTTATCTTTTCTCCCAAGAAAAGGACACTGGCCTGCTGAGTCCCTCTAATCCTAGAGCTAACCTGTGCAGCCTCAATCTGTACCATTGAGGGCATGGGGGGGGGGGAGGCGCGGGGAGGGGGTAGGCACGTGGGGGAAGGAAGTATAGTTCAGAGACATCAGCTCTAGATCTTGCAGCAACTATCCTGACCAGCTGGGAATGACAGCCTCTCTCAGACTCAATCCTGCGTGGTGGTCTCCATCATAGCTGGGACCTTGGCAAAAGAGCTATTTGTTACAGATCAAAACACAAAGAAAGCTCCTTGAATACCATCCCCTGAAACCCAGAGTTGGGGGGTGCTGAGGTGTGTTGGAGGTCAAAGCTCAACACAGAGTCTTTGTATCTTTCTAAAAGGGCCCCTGGGCAGGATATCTCAGGCTAACTGGGTGTACAGCCGCCCAGGCGCAGCCTCAGGGTAGCTCAGTCTCCCAGGGAAACCATACAAACAGTTCTGGTTGCCTGCAAGGCACGGGTTCCACTGCTGTTTTTTTCTTCATACCCTGGGGTCATCTGGGAAATCAGGAAGCCTCAGACCCTGAGGCTGGCCAACCTCCAGCCCCGGGGGTGGGTGGGGGGGGGTGTGTGTGGAACAAACCTGTCTTCCTTGCTTCATGATGGTGGGGTTGGCCGCGGTGTGGCGCTGGTTGGAGCTGACAAATCCACTGGTGCCCAAGAGACCCAGGCGGGCGGAAGGGACATTGCGAGAAGGGATCTGGTACTGGCGTGGGTTCCGTCTGCCCATGCCACCACCCACAGAGCCAGCCGTCGGGAGGGAGTTAGACTGCCCAAAGCTCCGACTGCAAGAATAAGAGGAAAGAACGCAGAGACCATTAGTCCTTAGTCACTCAGAGAACCCAGGCACCTCCCTGGGAGAGTCCACAAGTGGAGAGGTCTATGGGAAACTCTGTGGTAGCCAGGGGCTGTGATCAAAATGGCAGCTGCCACCCGAGAGCATGTGGCTCATGTGTCACACACTGCTCTTCAACCTGCTCACAACCCTGAGAAATTTAGGGCTGTACATCCATCCCTTTTACAGGCAGTGAAATGGGAGAGCTTGATAATTTTGCTAAGGCCACACAGCCAGCAGGGGGCAGTGCTGCAAGGTGGGCCCTGGTGAACTGGCATCCTGTTTTGCCCTCTTGAATTCCCTGTCTGAAAGAGTGACATTCAAACACACAGCCAGAAAGTGGCAGAGCTAGGACAAGAATGGAGGTGACTGTCCCAGCCGGCCTTCAGTCATGCCGTGGTACACTTCTTACCAGAGTGGCGCTGCACACTTTGAGGGATGGAGACTCTGGAAGGCTCTAAAAACAAAGGCCAAAGTCTGTCCTCTTTAATTCTGGGTTCCTGGTGCAGTAAATGCTGGGTGAATGATTAAGTGAATGAATGACTCAATCTCTGCCATCATGATGGTCCTCTAAACTCCACAGCCTACCTCATCTGTGGGTAGTAGAAGTGTGAGATGATGATGCACGGTGCTCTAGGCCAAGGCTATGGTCTGCCTCACATTCCCTGCAGACTGGGCTTTTTAAAGGCCAGTGAGGCTCCCAGCTTCTCCTGGGTCCAGGCAGAAAGCTGCTCCCCCTCCCCACCCCCCAGGGTTGGGTGAGCTCAGCACTGAAGAACTCATGTTGTCCACCAGCCTCAGTTCTGGGAGGCTGCAGATGGGATTTCAGGAACCAACACATTCTTTCCAAGAGAGTCAGAGGTTTCAGGGGACATGCATTATCTGCCCATGGCCACTAGATGTCGCAGACTTGCTTGTCCAGCTACACTGGGGAGTTTGTACCAAGCCTGAGAGGAGACTCCGCAGCCTGTGCAGACAGGCTGACGTAGCTTCAACCAGAGGAGGACCAGAGGGGCCCTGCAAAACAGTCATTTCCTGAGCCAGGCAGAGTTGTGCATGTGTGTGGGAGGGGGTTAGCCGGGCCTGCAGCACAGAAAAGCTCAGAGCAACATCTCCTTTCTCCCCTGGATTCCTAAATGTCCTAGGAAGAGAGGGGCCTGGGGAAAATAATTCTAGAATTCTAGGCTGGGTTCCTTTCTACTTCCAGGCTTTTGTGGCCAAAGAGTGTGTTCTTGATTTGCATCCAAAGAGGAGGATGTTGGAGGCCCCTGGTGTCTTTGTCTTACCCCTTCCCACTTTTCCTTTTTTTTTTTTTTTAAAAAAAAAACATAATAAGACTTTTAATTTGCCAGAGAAATTAAGGACAGGGATCTGTGTGACATATGTCATTTACAATTTACATGTGATCAGAGACCTCCTTTGGAGAGCGGATAATCTCTCCCAGGGGGAAACAAGGAAAGTGATTTTTTTTTTTGCCCAGTTCCCCCCCCCCCTTTCCTTTTTTCTTTTTTTTTTCCAAACTGTGAAAACTAGTTCCTTGATTTCTGGAGTCAGAATTTTAGCCACCTGGCAGATGATTCAGGATTCTGCTAAGATGTTTTTCCTTATTTAGTGTGGATAGTGTTTTTTTCCCTCACTTTCCGTTTTGGTATGATTTTTCAAAAGTTATTTCATATGCAAAACACAGCAGTCAATGAATGTTGCTAAAATGACTGTGCTTCCAGGAAGGCAAGACTTTCTGTTTTTAAAAAAATTTATTTTTGAGTCTTGCTGTGTATCCTAGGCTGGCCTAGGTCAGCCTGCCTCAGTCTCCCAAATGTTAGGAGGTGTTACAGGTATGTGCTACCATGCCTGGCTCAAGGTAGTATTCTTTAGGGGTAAAGTGTGAAGAAGATTCTGTTATCAGAGAAACAAGTCACCTCAGGACTCCTAGAGTTGGGACTCATCTGTTTGGGAAGGCAGAGTGGAATCTAGAATGTTGTGGGGAAGGATGTGATGGTCAGAATTTGACCCATTCTCCCGATGGGAAGGTTTGTGATGGTCTCAATGGGTTTTCACAAAGCCAGATTTACCAAAGATTCCCACAGCTGGCACCCGAATGAACACTTAAAATCAAGATTGCTCAGCTTAATGAAATAATTGTGCTTTCTGGGCAGAGAACAAAGTTAACAAAAGTACGTTTTCCTCCTCATTCTGTTCTGCCCATCTGTATCTCTCTTTTGCTGCCTTAATCTAACTGATACCACTATTACCTTGAAATGCATGAAAAGTCTTTGATAAAATAACATTAATAAGAAGCAATTAAGCTAGGATTTGTGATAATTCAAGCAGGGATTGAGTTGTGGTTACCTTGGTATTATGGGAGAAACAGGTCTTCAAAGCAAATTAATAGCATAAAAAAGATCCCAGAGGAAATGGTCATAAAAACAAAGTATTTTCCAGGGTTTTAGCTGCATTCAACAGAACAGCCACATCTGGGGCTGAATTCATTCTTTCTTATGGATTCAACAAAAAGAGATCGATCAGGATTCCCACCTGGCAAAACCAATCCAAGAAATAACTGATAACTCTGGGGAGGTTGAGGCTAACACATGAGCTCGGCCCTGAGCAGGGCTCTCTGAGGATGACGGAGGGCCAGCAGGGCTCACAGAGATAGCAGGCAAGCTTTGCGGAGAAGAAGCAAAGCGCGTGAAAGTCTCATCTCCAACTTTAGCAAGCCAATGCCTCCTTCTTCCTCTTGGAATTTACATTTCCCAGCACCTGGTGTTGCGGTCAGGTTCTGGCATCTACCCTTGCTTGACGGAAGTCATGCTGACTTTAGAGGACGGGAGGGGTGGCAGGATTGAGGTAGGAGGCTGAGGATCAGATGTTGTATTTCATTCAGGTCTTGAGTTATCTTCAGGGAGTAGGTGGGGCCTAGGCCAGCCACCAGGGCTGTAGTCCCATAGGACTTGGGGCCAGGGAGCTGACCCCAACTTTACTGGAATGTTCTACTTTCTTCTTCCTTTCCTTTTCTTTCTTCTTTCTTTCCTTTATTCTTTTCTTTTTCTTTCTTTCTTTCGGTGTGTGCTGGTACTAGGGTTTGAACTGAGGGCTTTACTCTCTTATTTGGCTTTTCTTTTCTGCTCAAAGCTGATGCTCTACTACTTGAGCCATACCTCCACTTCTGGCTTTTTGCTAGTTAACTGGAGCTAAGAGCCTCTCAGATTTGCCTGCCCCAGATGGCTTCGAACTGAAACCCTCAAATCTCAGCCTCCTGAGTAGCTAGTGTTGTAGGTATGAGCCACTACTCACCTTCAGCTTGGAAAGTCTTTTCTGAGTATCACCTCGAGCCCAGGAAAATCTCCTGGCTATTCCATGGTGAAGAGCACTGAGCCAGGACTGGCACTGGCCTGCCTGATCCAAGTCCTGGGTGCCACTGTCTATTGAGCCATCTCTAAATTGGGGTTAAGAATAGCAGCTCTACCTCATAGGGTTGTTGCAAGGATGAAAGGTATTATATTTTTAAAGTGCTTGGCTATCAGTTGGCACATTGTATGTGCTAAATAAATGTTTGTTCAATAAACAACAGTACTATATGCAGGAATATGATAATTTTAAAATCAATCTTTCACGGAGACTTTCAATTGGTTTTATCTCCCTCAATAATATAGAACAGTGATGTCTTAAGGTACATTTATGCCAACAAACACCCCTAAACTGTAACACTGAAGCTTCTCTATACACACTAAGGAATAAAATGAACTCAGAACTTGTTAGGTGCAAGGAAAGACATTATTAGCTATCTGCTCATGTCTCCAAGTTGTAAGCTAGAATGTGGATTCTCTTTTCCCTAATGACTTCCCTGTTGTTCCAGGCTGAAGTCCACTCTCCTCCTACCTCTCCATCCTAGCTCTCCTAAGAACTAACACTCAGCTCACCTTCATTATGCAATCAGATTCTTCAATTTAAATCCATATTAAGGTAACAGGTTCTAAAGTACCCCCAGGCTTATTTTTAACTGCATCCAAGAAGCTGAAGTACTATGAAAAATCATTCTAGAATGGTTCTGCTCTACTATTAAGACTGCAGCTTGGACCAAAATAGACTAGCACTGGGCTCTTCACCCTGCCACCAACTATAATTAGCTTGTCTGCAGCTAGAAGGGAGGGGAAAAATTATACTAGCACTTAAGGTGCTGATAGAGGAGCCCACTCTGGTTGAGGTCCCTGTTGTAGATCAGCTACCCATGTTTGCCGGGATTCATGAATTCATAGCCACTCTGTCTTTCCATGCCCCTGTAGACATGCACCATCACTCTGACGGTGTGAGCTGAGTTACAGAAGCTCACATTCGGTTCTACCTCTGGGAATTCTCTCCCTCAACAGCCCTTTCCCAACCCCCACCTTGTAAGGGGTGAGATTTGGAACTGGCCACAGGACATCTGTATGAACAAGGATGAAGGATCGGCTAGATTCCTGCCCCTAGAATGCAGGCACGCAGGGAGGAACCAGGGAAATCACCGTGCATTACAAAAGACAAAACCCCAACATACTTCCTTTGCTGTCGATATCCTGATATGTCTAGAAGGGTTTTCCGAGGGAAGGACCGAAAGAGCTTCTGCACCTGCTGTTTCCATGACAACAATCTTTTTTTCTGCGTTTCTGTAAATGCCTGCAAAAACAAAACAGGACTTTTAAATGGGTGACGCAGCCTGGTATTATAGGGAGAAACATACAATTAATAGGGGAACACATTGGTGTCTCTGCAGTTGCCTTTTGGTCACCTGTTTTCAACCTGGTCCGAACAGCAGTCAGCTTCATTTGGATGCTGGCTGCGAAGATTCCAGTTACACAGCACCGGAAGTACCTGGGAAGGTAGCTACATGATGCTTTGAATGACCCTTATATTTCTGGTTGCATTTCTGGCAGATCCATACCCATCTTCCCAGCCTCCGACTCCTCTTTGGACTCTACTCATTAACCAAGAATGAATTGTAGAATTGATTGCTGGATGCCCTGGCTTTTGCAGGCTCCCTGAATTTTCATAATCAATGAAAATTTTAAACCACTCCAAAAATCAATCTGCTTGATGGGGTGTGGTCACCCTGGAGTGTTCTGTGGGTACATACTCTCTGGGTTTTAAGGTGGTTGCTGAGCAATCTCTACTTAAGTGGTCCTATGTCCTACTAAAACCCCAGTGCACTGGCCTGGACTAAACCTTGTCTGGAGTTTCATAAAAAGGGATAGATGTGATGCTTGCAATGCTTTTTCTAGTAAAACTGGTGTGTAGGGATGTTTTGTCTACTGCTCTACAACACACAACTATGATGAGTTTTTTTTTAAAAAATATATATTATTATTATTTTTTATTGGTCATGGGGCTTGAACTCTGAACTTGGGCGCTGTCCCTGTGCTCTTCAGCTCAAGGTGAGCACTCTACTGCTTGAGCCACAGCGCCACTTCCAGTTTTCTAATGGTTGATTAGAGATAAGAGTCTCATGGACTTTCCTGCCCGGGCTGGCTTTGAACCGCAATCCTCAGATCTCAGCCTCCTGAATAGCTAGGATTACAGGTGTGAGCTACCAGCACCTGGCAGAAGTTTTTTTTTTTTTTATGTACAGTTTTTGCACTCACCACAGCCCAGGGACCTCAAATTCACAGTATATTGACATCAGCCAAGGACACTGTTAAATGCAGGTTCCTGGGCCTCTCCCACATCTCAGAGCCTGACCGAAAACATCTGGAGGCTTGTCTCGGAAGATGGGGTTTGTAGTAGGTATGCTGATGATTCTGAAGGAAGAGCATGGGTACAGGGCCTTCCAAGCAGGTATCTATGAGTCCCCCTATTCAATGCCTAAAGCATGAGTGCCATGGATATCTACCTGATTTGATTGATTAGCAGTCACAACGCCAGATAACAAATCCCAAGTGGTTTTTATCAACAAGGCATGAAATCTTTCATGTGGCAATAAAATATTACTTAAGAGTAACAGGCCAAATTACTAGTTCCCATAAAGGAAACAGATTCTTTGCATGAAGAAAAAAAATGACAGCTTAATTTTCTCCTCAGGATGTGTAATCATTATTTTTTCATTGGTGCTGGGGCTTGAACTCTGGGCCTGGGTGCAGTCCCTGGGTTCTTCAGCTCTACTACTTAAGTGCTCTACTACTTAAGCCATCCCACCACTTCTGGTGTTCTGGTGGTTAATTGGAGGTAAGAGTCTCACAGACTTCCCTGCCCAGGCTGGCTCTGAACCACAGTCCTTAGATTTCGGTCTCCTGAGTAGCTAGGATTATAGGCATGAGCCACTGGTGCCTGGCTCAGATGTGTAATCTTTTAAGGGGCCTACATATAGCAGAGCTCTGTGGACGAATGTGGAACAGTGTCGTTGTAGATGTATTGATGACTTGCAGGCTCCTTCCTCCTGGGTTGCCTTGGCTGATGCCAGTGAGGATGTGCACCTGGGGTGTGTGTGTGTGTGTGGTAGTGTACAAAGAAAGGACCAGAAAAGCTCCATTAAAGAAGAGGGGAAGTAGTCCTGCACCTGTGTGTGTGAGAGACGGTCTCATGACTAGCAGGTGAGGGCCTGGTCCCTCTCTGTGGCCCACTTCCATGGTCCTCTCAATTGCTGGTAATGCTCACTAAATATGTACCTACATGTATGCCTGGACAAAAGGCATTTGTTTCTGCTGGATTAATAAAGGTTGAGAAGAAATATTGCTTTAGATCAGCTTCTTCAGCTAAATGTAGAGGACACAAGATACCACTATGTGGTCAAGAAGACTTGGCGGGAAGAAGAGTTCAGCCCAGGGAAGGCTCATAGGAAGGTTCTGGGTCCAAATGGACAGGATGTGAATCCTGAACACTCTTAGGCAAGTTCCTTTAGCCAAGACTGCCTTCCTTCTGGAGACTGAGGGGGATGCTACCTTGCTCAAAGGGACATTGGGGAAATGAACGGAAACAACCCACAGAAAGCTTGGAGAATTATTGGTGCTCTTAGAAATGGTCTGATGCATGCTGGTTACACAGACTCATGCTTTGGGGATGGTCTATGAGGGTTCTTCACATTTGGTTTCCAACTATGAACTTTAGCCCCAACAGCAAGACAATCCAAATGGCTTCATGGTCTCAAAACGACAATATGAAGCTGGTCTGGAGCCAGCTGGAAGAATATTTGGCCTGATGTTTAGGATAAAAAGATAAAGGAGCAAATGATTCACTTTATACACATCCTTCCAAGGACATCGTTACAATGCACCAGTACACATCATCTCCCCATAGTGACAAACAGCCTCCAAGAAGATGAAATAGGGACACAGAGTTGTCCCTCACAGCACCCTGGCCTTGGGCTCACGGAGTTCATGGCTGCAGACCGGGGCTGTTTCCTCTGTATGCTGAGTGAGTGAGTGTGGTGGCTCTTCTCAGCCAGGAGGCATCCAGAGAGCAGTCTAGCTAGGTCTCAGTGGCTCCAGGGATGTGTGAAAACTGCATTCTATGCCTGCAAAGCAATGCTAATGGCTGACATCTCATCATCCATTTGCCCCTCCACTGGCAGCCCAATGTTTTGGGGATCTGGTGAAGAAGAGACTACTCCTATACCACCATGTCAGCCAGTTCAGGCCCAGACCCATCCATCTGTCTGGAGGAAGATGGCTGCAGTGTGTCTAGTTGTTTTTGTGTCAGGACTTTTCACCTATCTTCCCAGGAAGTGAGAACAAGGCTGAAGTCATGGCTCAAGTGGTAAAGCACCTACAAGCAAGGCCCTGAGTTCAAACCCCAGTACTGGCAAAATGGAAAGAAGGAAGGAAGAAATGAAGGAAGAGAAGGAGGGGGGGAGGGAAGAAGGAAAAGAGGGAGGGAATTTGGAAGCTGAGCACAGGTGGCTCACATCTGTAATTCTAGCTACTCAGGAGGCTGAGATCTGAGGATCCTGGTGTGAAGCCAGCTCACCAGACACATCTGAGAGACTCTTATCTCCAATTAAGACTCTTATCTCCAATTAACCAGCACAAAACTGGAAGTAGAAATATGGTTCAAGGGGTAGAGTACCAGCCAAAAAAAGCCTTGGGTTCAAGCTACAGTACCAACACACACACACACACACACACACACACACACACACACACACACACACACACACACACACACACACACACACAGCTTAGAATTTTAAATCCCGAATTCAAAGCAATTGGTTTCAGAAGCAAAGCTCAGAACTGTCCTGATCTTTCACTACTCCTGGGAGCTGGTGCTTTCCTCTCTGGGGAGGAAGGAAGTTGTCTTGGTTTATACAACACCTTCCTGCTTCCAGCCTGCTGAAGAACTGGCACACTGTAGCTACGAAAGGAGCTCTCTCTGGGAGCTAACCTTGCCTCAGCCAGGATGGGGACTGGGTCTCCCAGGGTGGGGGGTGGGCTGCGATATAGAATAACCCTTGGCTGTGGAAAATTATTCAGATGGCTTTGCACTTTCTCAAAATAAGTTAACAATAAAGAGACTTGAGCAATACTTCTTCCCTTCCAGACAGTTGGCTGGGTCCATCCATCCTGCCATGGATTTGGGCAGGCAGCCATGTCACAAAGATCCTTCCTGTCCCTATAGTGAGCCCCTGCTGCCAAGATCAGACCACCTGGTGCTACATTTGCTCCAAGTCACTTGGAGCTCCCAGAGAAGCAAGGAGAGGGGGGAGGAGGGAAAGGGAGAGGGACAAAGTCCAGACAGGGTGTCCAAGTAGAGCATAGCAGAAGATTAAGAAGCATCAGGCCAAAGTTCCAGGGCTGTGCAGACAAAGCAGGGGGCTAGCAAATTGTTGAAGAGAGGAGCAGGACTCATTATTATTTGGGCCTCGAGGGTCTGTCTGACAGGAGGTGAGGTGGAAGGTATCTTCTCTCTCAGTATCTTGAAAGCTCCATTTGGAGAGTGAGGATGGGAGAGGAAGCAGAGTTCCATTAAATGCTCCCCTGATCCATCCATCCCGAGCCAGCCATGGATACCTCTGCAACAGAGCACAGAGCCCTGTAGAGCCTGCTGCTGGAGCCCTGCCTGCCTCCTCAACACTCAACCGGCCTTTGGGCCTCAGCTAGGAAATGCCCTGGATCTGGCTTTGGGGTCCAGCACCCACCATTCCTCCTTTGAACTCTTGAGGCTCTTATGAAGGTTTGTTTCCTTTTTTTTTTTTTTTTTACTTTTTCCTTTGTGTGCTAGTTCTGGGACTTGAATTCAGGGCCTTGAGTTCTCTTGAGTTTTTTTTTTTTTGCTGGTGCTCTACCAACTTAAGCCATAACTGTACCTCCAGGTTTTTTCCTTTTTCCTGGAGATAAAAATCTCATAGACTTTCCTGTTCAACTATCTCTGCATCTCCATCTTCAGATCTTCACTTCCTGAGTAACTAGGATTACAGGGGTGAGCCACCAGGGCCTGGCTTTCCTCAAAAGTTTTATTGTCATATGTGTGAGGATCTGTTTTTAGTTTGTCTCACATCACCCTCATACCATAAGCCATCTAGCTAGGGACAAGGGCCTAGATGCTCAATAAATACTTTTGGAATGAATGCACTGTGACATCCTTCCATGTGTATTTCCTTCCTTGCTTCTGCCCCCCACCCCCCCAACAAGCGCAGAGTCCTGATTGGAAATAGCCAAGGGTTAGTAGGGCTTGTAGCATGTGGCCTTGACCCTTACTGAAACCCATCCACAAGTAAGCACTTTAGTATAGGCCTTGGTTATCATTAGACAGTGTCTGGGTGCTCTGGGTAAACTATTAGAGATAAAGCTTTTATTATTATTTAAGCAAAAAAAAAAAACCCCTAAAATATCCATCCAGAGGATGGAGCATTTCTGTTTCTAGCATAGGCACTAAGCTCACACTGTGACACAGGGCTATGACTTTAGCACTGGGAGTGGGCATGAAAGTTTGCACTGTCTACCAAAGACCAGCTATAAAGATGAAGGTTGGGGGGAAATGACTAAAGAGTGGCTAGGTGGAGCCCCTGGGAGATACCAGGTACCTACATTGCATCAGACCAGGGGAACAGCAGAAGGCCCTGAGAACAGAAAGAGACCCTCGGCTGGGCGGGTGGGCACACATAAGTAAAAAGGGGCCAGTCTAGGCTGTTGTCTGGGCGCCTCCTCCCCCAGGGTCCAGTGGATTCCTGGAGTTCTGCCTGCAAGTAAAAGTGAGGAGACTTGGAGATTCCTTAAAACCTCACCAACCTGGGTTATCTAATCCCAAATTTAATATACTGTCTCTGGAACTGTGGGTATATGATAAGGAGTAGGGTTCCAAGTAACCATGGCACATCTAGATTAGAGGCTCAGCTCCCTCCATCTAGATGGGCGGGGGGGGGGTGGTGGTGGTGGTGGAAGGGGAGGAGTAGTGACCAGCTCAGCCTGTGCTCGGGACTCTGTCTGTGAAGCCTATTACATTCTAAGAGTTTCACAGGCACCCTTCCAGCTTGCCTCGGTTTCCTTCCAAAAAATAGGTAGCAAATATAGTTCCTACAAAAACCACAAACCCAAACGAACAGCTGAGCAGCTATTAATCCACACACATCCACACACACACAGGCCACACAAGTGCTTACTATTTCCTTTGTGTGCCTTTTCTTCCCTCTCTAACTGCACCTCCAGTTTTCCTGCCCTAAAAGGCAAAACTGTTTCAACACCAGGTTTAAAAGACTTGAAGATGCCCAGAACTCGGTGGTAGGGCTCTGTGTTAGCAATTCTCCTGGAATCAAAAGTCCTCTCAGCTACCCCCTCATGTCCAGGCTCATGGTTTGGTGAATCTTGGATAGTTGGAGGCAAGCAGCAGGCTAGTTCTGCCTGAGCTATTATTAATGACCATCCACTCTTCCAAAACTACTTGTTGGACACAGAAATGATCACATCACAGAAACTCTGAGAAAGATCTCTAAGCAACGAGGAAGAGAGTTGGGTAAAAGCAGTGACTACTTACCTCATGAATGAGACACTTGTCTATGAGCTGTAAATAGGAACTTATATTTTCCTCATCAGGTCTGGAGACCAAGAGCTGTGTGCACACTGCAAATTAAGGAGGGGAAAAAAAAAACCATGAATGAGACCCACACATTCCCATGCTAACCTCTGAAATCTGCTTCTGATTTCCTTTCAGGACCAAAGCCTTGTAAAATATGTAAGCTCATGGCATTAGATAAGATTGGGGGGGGGAAAAAACCCCAAATGCCAGGAGGCTCCTCATTCCACTGAAGTCAAAAGCTTGGTCACCATGAGAGCTTCTTGGGTTAATTCCTGTCATACCAATCTATATTAAGCCTTCAGCCAGCAGGCCTGAGACAGATATTTGGTGAGAGAAGAACTGAGGCATCCTCAGCTCTGTGAGCCAGGGCTTTGCAGAGCCTCAAAGTCCCCCGCCATGGGCAGACAGGCAACCCCCACTCCATGTCATGAATGAGCCCCACGCACCTTGCCATGCGGAAAGGGAGTGGTGTTTACACGTGGAAGAACCAGGCTAGCACTCTGTTTTTGGCTGTGAGGTGTGTGGGTAGGAACTTGCCACTCATTATTGGAGGTTATTTTTGCAAAGGGATATGTATATTTATACACACACAGGTTCACCTACACATTCATGTGAGTGCTAGGAGAGACAGGGCTGTTAGTCGGTGGATGGAGAACAGGCAAGAACTGGTTTTCTCATGCCAGCTTTGGTGGTGGTGGTGGTGGGGTGTGTGTGTGCGTATATGACCAGCCAGAGAGTGAACGAGGCCTGTAAACCCATCAAGTATAAAACCTGGTCCTCCCATTGAATTTTCCCTACTCCTAAACAGTTTATTACAGGATCTCACTTATTTTGTCTCTTTGCATACAAGTTTTCAATACAGCAGTTATTTGTGATAAAAACTAAGGAAGTGTCAGGCATGTGACTCATGCCTGTCATCCTAGCTACTCAGGAAGCTGAGATCTGAGAATATGGTTCAAAGCCATCCCAGGCAGGAACATCTGGGAGACTCTTATAGCCAGTTAACTACCAAAAAGCCAGAAGTGAAACTTATGGTAAAACACTAGCTTTGAGCAAAAGAAAGCTTAGAGACAGCACCCAGACCATGAGTTCAAGCCCCAGGACTTGCACACAAGTGCATGTGTGTATGTTCACGTGCACATCCTCACCCCCACCATAAACAAAGAAACAAATGAATAATAAAAAAAAACTATAGAAACTGCCTTGTGTCCATTATTGGGGACCCTGCTAGGTAAATTATGCAATGGTGCTATTTATAGTGATAGAAATATTCAAAGTAGGGCTGGGAAGGTGGCTCAGTGGTAGAGCGCTTGCCTTGCATGCCTGAGGCCCTGGGTTCGATTCCTCAGCACCACATAAGCAAAAAGAAAAAAGCCAGAAGTGGCGCTATGGCTCAAGTGGTAGAGTGCTAACCTTGAGCTGAAGAGCTGAGGGACAGCGCCCTGGCCCAGAGTTCAGGCCCCACGACCGGACCCCCCCCTCCCCAAAAAAAGAAATATTCAAAGTATACAATGTCCTAAAATGAACAATCCACATTATGCTACAAAAAAGAATATGGCCCACGTGTGCAAAAATGGAGACTTGGACATGTTTCCCAAAGGATGTCCCCAAACGTAACAGTAACTACCCCCCAGAGGAAGATGGCAGGGCATGAAGCAGGCAGGGGAGATGATTTTCCCCTTCCATCAACTCATTGAATTGTGAATCTTGAGCATAAATTGGGTTTAGAATGTGCAGTTACAATGCACACAGTAGCAGAAGCAGAGGGCTGTGGGACTCCTAAGGATCATCAATTCTTTTGTCCCCACCTCGGGGCCAGGTGGAGAGACTCATGTCCATTTATCTGCAGGACTGTGTCCTTACTCATGAGGAGAACTGTCCTACTCCAACACAGTACAGGATGGGTAGGGAGGCGGAGAGAACAGGGTCTGCCCTGGCTGCCAATCTCAAGGAAGCTGTGGGTCATTTTCTGTTTTAGGTTTCAAGGTTTCTTTTCAAGGTTTTCTTTCTTTTTTTTTTCTTTTGACAGTATTGAGGTTTTGAAATCAGGACCTCACACTTGTCAGGCAAGTGAGGCATGAAGCCATATCTCCAGGCACTGATTTTTACCTGGACTGTGATCCACCTATTGTAGGCGTTCCGTGCCAGGATGAGTGGCATGTGTCACATCAACAAACGTCTTTTGATTGAGATAAGAGTGTCTTGGACTTTTCTGTCAAGGCTATTCATCAACTTCAACCCTCCCATTCTGAGTCTTCTAAGTAGCCAAGATTCCAGATGTGAGCCACAGGTACCCAGCTAGGAAGTGAAGTCTTTTTTTTTTTTTTTTAAAGACTTGTATGGGAAGTGGTATTTCTTACCCCTGCTGTAAGGCTCAGGTATCCATTTCTGTTGGTGGAAAGGTGGTTCTTTAAAAGGGTTCAAAATATTGGACAGCAAAGTTCAGAACCTCTAAGGAAAAGTATCAGCACCCATCATACTTTTTTAAATAATCAAAATTTCTTGTGAACCATTCTATCAAACACAAATGATTCTAAGGTTGGGCATTTTTGAGGATATGGATGTGAGGGGCCAAGGCCATGGGCAGGCAGGGGAGTACAGGTAGGATACTCTGGCCCTTCCCAGAGGTCAAGGACACACCGTGGTCCACCCCGCCCTTGCAGACCTGTGAACCCAGCCAGGACAGTTCACAGTTTAGTCAACTGTACAGACCAGTGCCATCTCTCACTCTGTGCATCAACTAGGTCTGTGTCACAGGTTAAAGTGTTCAGTGGATATTAAAAGTGGCTCATGCCTATAATCCTAGCTACTCAAAGAGGCTGAGATCTGAGGATGAAGATTCAAAGTCACCCTTGGCAGAAAAGCCCGTGAGACTCTTACCTCCAATTAATTAACAAGTCAGAAGTGGAGCTGTGGCTCATGTACAGAGAGCTAGCCTTGGTGGTGGTGGTGGGGGGGGGGAGCCAAGGGACAGTGCTCAGGCCCTGAGTTCTAGCCCCAAGACTGGCACTAAATAATAAATAAATCAATAATAGTCTGACAGCACTACACAAGAATAGCATAATATGAAGACTGTAATAATGTGTTATGCAAAACAGTAATAGTATACTAAGACAGTCAAGCAAACCAATGAGTGCAATCATGTGTGACCTGGGTAAGTTAAGGAACACAGGGGCTGTGGGCTGGGGAGAGGGGTACCTCACCCAGCCGGGGGGGGGTTCACCTAGCTTTCCTGACCCACATGATGGCTGCGCTGAGATGTAAAGCATGAGATGTGATCTAGGTGAAGGGAACGGGTGGAGGGCTTGGGGTGGGGATGGGAGAGCGCAGGCAGCCAGGGAGTAGGTGATCCTTTGGGGGAGACATCAGATAGGGTGTCACCTCACTCCATCTGGTGCTCAGGAGGTACAGTGGTCACCAGGTGGTGTGGGCAGTGGAGAAGCTGTGGGATCCAGTTATCAGCCCTGCCCGCAGCTGTGTGTAAGCTTTGGTGGGCTGCTTGGCCTATGTGCCTCAGTTTCTACTTCTATAAATTGATGGGGGGCAGTGGAATTAAGGTGCCGAGGCGAAGCACAGAGAACTGTGCCTGGTGCCCAGTCATTATTAAACAACTACAAGCTATTAGCAGAAAAGCATTTGTAGGGTGGATCCAATCTGAAGGAAGAATGGAAACCTATGCATCAGAGAACACGTACAGAACAGGTCTATGCTGAGAATTCCCACACTATGGCCCCATGAAAGAGCTTCCAGGGGTGAGGGAGCAACCTTGAGGCCTGGCCTCTCTGCACAGGTTATTGTTTTGTTTTTGTGCCAGTTTGGGGGCTTGAGCTCAGTCCTTGGAGAGAGAGTGAGAGAGAGAGAGAGAGTGTGTGTGTGTGTGGTTAATCATGGGGCTTGAACTCAGGGCCTGGGGCTGTCCCTGAGCTATTTTGCTCAAGGCTAGTGCTCTGCCACTTTGAACCACAGCTCTACTTCCAATTTCATGGTGGTTAATTGAAGAGTCTCATGGGCATTCCTGCCTGGGCTGGCTTTGAACTATGAACCTCAGATCTCAGCCTCCTGAGTAGCAAGGATTACAGCTCCCAGCACAGGCTGGTCTTTGATTTCTGCGGTGTTTACTCTCTGCCACTGCTGCTTTGGGGAGCTATCATTAGCTGAGGGAATAATTTGTCCCCAAAAGTCTATCCCCCTCATCCTCCTCTGATGATCAGAGGAGGCAGGATCAGAGAGGCAGGAGTTCTGATCTCTGCGCCACACTGTTCCGGTCTCTCCAGAGAACCCAGGGCCATCTGTGGGGGACAGGTCACTTATCGAATGGAAGGGAAGTACTCCCAGCTCTGGGTGGGTGAGTTCAGCAAGAATACCTTTCCCCATGACGCGTGTGAACTGCCCGGGCAGGTCCCCTTCTGGCAGGGGGGCCACAGCCAGCTCCCCATCACAGCTGCTCAGCTGGTGTGGCTGCAGCCCGCCGCTGGCGCCCGCAGCAGCACTGGCGGCAGCGCTAGCGGCCACGGAGCTGTCCTTGCAGTCCGGGCTCTGGTTCTCAGGACCCATCAGTGAGGGCTGGTGTGGGACCGGTGGCTCCTGGTGGCGGGCATCCAGTGTGGCATTCGGGGAGCTGTAGGCCTTGATGGGCGTCAGGATCATCTGGTGCAGCTCCTGGAGGGGGATGCGCAGGCTACCACCTTCGATGATATCCTGCAGAAGGAAGAGACCACCGTGAGGCTCCCGTGTCCACTACCCGGCAGGCAGGCAGGCAGGGCTCTCGGCCACCGGCCTTCTGCACAAGGGTCTTTGTCAACACTTCTACTGGGTCTGCATCCTTCTAACACCAGCAAGGATAGAAAACCCGGAAAGTTCGGCTCTGTGAAGTAAACAGGCCTCTCTGGGAAATCTTACCATGATCTAGAGATGGCCAAGATGTGGTCAGCATTCCTTTCTGCCCTGCCTTCCTCTGAGACAGCCTATGGAAATGTATTTCTTCTTTTCCTTTTTCTCCCAGTACTGGGGATTGAACTCAGGGCCTTGAGATGGCCAGGCAACAGCTTTACCTCATGTGCCACACTCCTAGGCCCTTTGCCTTTCAATCTGTTTTTCAGATAAGAACCTTCTGCTGACTTTAACTGGCCTCATGCCTCTTCCTCTCTGAGCCTCCTGGGTAGCTGGGATTACAGAGAGGCACCACCACATCCGGTGGCATGCTTTATCTGACATTGTATAATGAAGCTGGTGGGTCCAGGGCAGGACTTGTTTGAGGCACAGGAATCTGTTCCTGTACACTTTCACCTGGCCCATGACACAGAAGCACAGGGGAGTGATTAGTAAGCACAGAATGTAGCTGGGTGCCCGTGGCTCACGCTTGTGATCCTAGCCACTTAGGAGAGTGAGAGCTGAGGATTGCAGTTCAAAGTTGGCCTGGGCAGAAAAGTATATGAAACTTACCTCCAATTAATCACCCAAAAGCCAGAAGTGAAGCTGTGGCTCAGTGGTGGAGAGCTAGCCTTGAGCAAAAAAAAAAACTCAGGCTCTGAGTTTCAAGTCCCAGGATGAGCGCACGCACACGCACACACACAAAAGAGAGAGAGAAAGAAAAAGCACAGATTCTCAAAGCAGATGCTCAGGTTTGAATCCTTGCAGTGCTGTGTGACCTTAGGCAAATGAGTTAACCTCTCTGTCCTCAGTTTCCCTGTACACCAAATGAGACTAGTTGTCTCACTGAACAATTGTGATGTCAGTATCTGTAAAGCCTCAGAGGAGTCTGTCACCATGCTGCATGATTCTTAGTGAAGTTAAGAAATATGTGTTGGAGGTTTCCATGTACTGAGCTCTGTGCTAAGCATGGGAGAGGGTGGCAATGTGGGGTGTGGGCAGGCTGGTGGGAAGGGCAGCTTCTGGAGAGAGGGGCACTGTAATAGGACCCTGCAGGAGCAAAGGCAGGAGGACCCCGGGAAGGAATGCTCCAGGCACAGGGCATGCAAAAGCCCTATGGTAGGAGCAAGTTATATGTAGCAGAGAGGCAGGCAGGGTACAGCAAGGTAGGTGAGAACAGAGGGTGGGAAATGGGATTCTTGGGGCTCCTCCTCCACCACCCTCGCCCCCTCCCTGCAGACCTATGGGCTAAGGTAAGGTGTTAGAATTTATTCTAGGGGCTGGGAAGGTGGCTCAGTGGTAGAATGCTTGCCTGAGGCCCTGGGTTCGATTCCTCAGCACCACATAAGCAAAAAGAAAAAAGCCGGAAGTGCTGCTGTGGCTCAAGTGGTAGAGCGCTAGCCTTGAACTGAAGAGCTGAGGGTCAGCGCCCAGGCCCAGAGTTCAGGCCCCACAACCGACCGGGGGGCGGGGGAGAATTTATTCTAAACCAGGCAAGTTTTCAGCAGAGGAGAGATGCTTCAGAAGGAGGATTTGTGGATGCATAAGATGCTTCAGAAGGAGGATTTGTGGATGCATAATGGTAGCATGTGATTTCATGTGTTGTCTACTAAAACGATCCTTATAGCACATTCAATTTGTTATGCTGGATACTACTCACTGACAAAGGGAATGAGTTGATTCTGATGGGATTGCACTTGTCCAGGTACCTGTAGCTGGGGGCTGGGGGCCGGCTCCTCCCCGGTACAGTGGTGGGTCAGGCCCCTGCCACAAATGTGGCTCCCAATGCATTTGCAACCATGCTCTTCCTGAACTCAGACCTGACACTGCCCATCAGGGTCCTGGTACCAGTGAAGGATGGACCCCTCTGGAATAGTGCGGACAGAATTTTAAGAGCTTGACTGCTGTGCAGGTGTAAACCATTCCTAGGATCCTCTTGTAACAAGACTTCCCTCCCACCCCCATTTGACCGTATTGATAACTGATGACTGATCATTGAGAGACAGGTGCTCTACCACTTGAGTTATACCCCTCCACTCTTTTTGCTTTATTTTTCACATAGGGTCTTTAGGATTTTGTTAGGCTGCCTACACTGCAGTCTTTCTATTTACTTTTCCCACATAGCTGGGATGACAGGTGTTCTTAACGAGATGGGAAATCTCAATAACTTTTTGCCAGGGCTGGTCTCAAATCAGGATCCTAATATCTGCCTGTGTTATAGAGAGAAAGCCCCTTTTCCCTGGCTTGTTAAAAATTCTCTGGAGACAGATTTTGCTACATAGCCCCCAGCTGGCCTTGAACTTGTGATTCAGACGCCTTAACCTCCTGAGTGCTGGGATGATAGGAGGGAACCAACATGCTGAGCAAGATATTCATTTGCCACTTAGCAGACAATCTCAGAAGGGCTTCCTTCTGATTGTGGACAGTCTCGGTGGCAGGGCAGCCTCCAGCCCAGGGAGAATTAGCACACATTGCTCCTCATCCGCAGTGTCCCTGCTACCCAGGGACTAGCCTTTCCCAGAGTCTGGACACCAGTGTGTGGCTGGTCAACTTCACCTTGGGCCTGGTGATGTGGGCATCACCAACTGCCTGCCTCCTGCAGCCCCTGGGCTTTGAAGGGCGCTTATTGCCTGTCTAGCCCACACGTGAAGATAGGTGTGTGATTGTAGGGGGGAGGGAAACAGATAGGGTTCTGTGAAGGCGAAGCAAGTGAGCCAAGGCTCGGGTGGGGGTGGGGGTCCCATGCTGTTTTCCTTGCCCTTCTATGTGGCCAGCGTCTCTCAGGTGAACAATGTATGCTCAAGACCCCATCAACAGCCACCAAGCCCTTGCTGGCTTCCTCCTCATGGCATGAAGGTTCTCTAGTTCATGGTGAAGGAAGGAGATTGTAAGAGCTGAATTCATTCAGCCAGGAATATTAGATACATACATACATATATACATGTATATACATACACACATATACACACACACATTCACATATATTAGGGTAGATATATGCCCTAAGTCCAAATCTTATCAGTCTTATATTGGGAGTCACTATAAAAAAATCCATAAACATAATGAATAATGTTTGAAGCTTAATATAACATATAACTTCCTGGGATCATACACCGTTTTGTTCTTCTTAGACTTCAAGCCATTGTCACCAAAAACCTTACGGCCAGTTAGCCAGACTGCTGCCTATGCCAGCAGCATGGAGCAGAGCCGTGACCACCGGATTACATTCCTGCCTCTTAAAGGAATTTCACTACTCCATGCTCACATTCAGAAGCACACAGGGAGATGGTCCAAATGGAAGTCCATCTAGCATTCTCCACTGACTGTGGGAATTAATTCTCCACGTTGACAAGTCTCTATTGATCCTTCAGGACAAAAAATATAATTCCTACATTATAAACACAAAGAGGCAAAATGAAGCTGTCCAGTAAGCAATGTGCAGATTCAAGGCTGCTGAACAAGGAGCCCGTTTGGAAGCAGATAACAGGAAATCCTCAGCAACAGCACAGTGATAGCTCAGTGGACAAGCAGGAAGGAAATGACTGTCCGGCCAGCCTGGTCCAGCCCTGGACTTTTAGGACTTGGAGGAATTTGGTTCAGTGCCTTTGAGAAGGGGAGGAGTATGATAGTAACAAAGCCTGAACCATCTGGAAAGAGAGCTTTGGGCAGCCATGGTGTTCCCAGCACTTTGTGTGACATGTCCCTCAGGCCCCATTCTTCCTTTGTGGGAGAACAATTAGGACTTCTGACTTAATAGTCAGGTGTGTACTTAAATCCACTCTCTGCTGGGTACTGGTGGCTCACACCTGTAATCCTAGCTGCTCCAGAGACATAGATCTGAGGATCATGGTTCGAAGCCAACCCGGGCAGAAAAGTCTCCAATAAACTACTCAATAAAAATATCTCCAATAAACTACTCAGCAAACGCTGTGACTTAAGTGGTAGAATACTAGTTTTGATCAAAAGAAGTTCAAGGAGAGCCCCGAGGCCCGAGTTCAAGCCCAGAACTGGCACAAAATTAAGAAATAAAATGAATGAATGAAATAAATCCACTCTCTCTCCCCTTCCATTTACCAATCAGCTGCCAACAGCAGCAGGCATTGATCATTCGCATTGGGAATATTCAAGCAAATAGAGTTCTCCTCAAAGAGGCTTACACTTCCTGAGATCCACATGTTATGACGGTGTTGGGGCAGGGAGCTGGGGGAGCAGAGAAGAGAGGTTCCTGACTGCAAACAACAAGCAGGGGAATAGACAGGATGATGCAAGATGACCCAGAGACGAAGCTGGAGAGCTGTTCCCAGGCTGATCAGGAAGCAACTTGCTAAGGAGTTTGGACCCACCTGAGTTTCTTTCTCTGAAAGACTCAGCCTCAGCTGTCTGGCCTGTCTTAGCAGATCAGGGCCAGAAGTGCTAGCATATGCGTAATTTTTTGCAAGTATCAAATGGGCCTTATTAGTATAAAGCATTATTATCACAATGAAAGTATTACTAAACACTGTTAAATATAACTCCCATTTTTCTGTGATAATAGATAAAAACAGTCTCAGATGTAGCCTCAAGAGACTAAGATTTAGATGTGTCTGAAGAAAAGATATGGACTTCCACATTAAGTGGAAATAAATCAAAGTGAAAATATTTCCTCTAAGTGGAAATAAATCAAATAGGTGTGTATACATTCGTGTGTGTGTGTATGTATGTGTATGTCCATACCAGGTTTAGAAAATAGTTCTGTTTTATGATTTGGGAGCCAGTTGATAATATACCTAAAAGCACATGGTGACCTTTTTTTTTTTTTTTGGGTTGGGTCCTGGGGCCTGAACTCTGGGCCTGGGTGCTGTCCCTCAGCTCTTCAGTTCAAGGCTAGCGCTCTACCACTTGAGCCACAGCACCACTTCCAGCTTTTTTTTCTTGCCACAGCACCACTTCCAGCTTTTTTTTCTTTTTGCTTATGTGGTGCTGAGGAATCAAACCCAGGGCCTCATGCATGCAAGGCAAGCGCTCTATCACTGAGCCACCTTCCCAGCCCAACCTTTTCTTGTTAAATGTAAATCTACTCCAGTAATTGCTGCCACCTTCTCTTTCCTACCAAACAGCTGGAGCAGCCTACAGCCCCATGCCCCTGACCCCATCCTTCACACTCCTGGCTTCTTGTCCTCTTCTATTCTCCAAAAACATTTTCCCCATTCTGGCTGCTGTGACCAGCAGATTGCCAAGTCCAGTGTAGTCTCCACTGTAGGTGACACTTCCATGTACCTGATGGGAAGAGATCCTCTGCAGGACTCAGTCATTACATGGTCCTTTCTTTTTTGTTTTTGTTTTTATTGTAAAAATAGTGTACAGAAGGGTTACAGTTATAAGAGTAAGGTAATGACTACATTTCCTATTGAGCATGGTTACTTCCTCCTTTGTTTTTTCCCTACCATCCCTTCCTTGAGCTGAAGAGCTGAAGGACAGTGCCCAGGCCCAGAGTTCAAGCCCCATGACCACCACCACCACCACCACCACCACCAACAAAAACAAAACCAAACAAAACCAAATAGATGGTCCTTTCTTATCTGTGCCTGTCCTCAGCTGGTCACCACTCCCCACACACTTTTGGGGTACCCACCAGCAATCACACACACAGCTGGCCCAGAGCTGAGTCCTTCCTTCCAACCCAGCTGGGTCCTGGACTCCATACCTTCCTTTCTGGCCATCTATTTGCCAACTCCACCTGGGTGTCCCATAGGGATCTCAAAATCAAGCCACTGAACTACTTTTCTTCTACTCTAGTAGTTCCTTCTATGTTTCTGTTCCCAGATGACACACCATCTAAGCCTAAGCCTCCGGAACCAGTGGGTTTCCTTGAAGTGATCTTTCTCCTCCTTCTCTGTCCTCATGGTCCCTGTTTTGTTCAAGATCCTATCGAAACTTGCTCTGTTTCCCATCAGCCCCTGGCTCCTCTAAGGGACTCCTACCTCACTTCAATGAGGGTCCACCTTCAATGGGCTGTCCACCTCAGGAAAATTCTCCCGGCTGCCTCTGGATTGTGAGATCATCAGCTACCACATCTGTCTGCCCCAGGCCATGTCCTAAGTTGCCCTCGGGCAGGGTCTACATACCACTTACGGTGAACCTACAGAGGACAGGGCAGAGCGAATCTGAACAGTTGCTTTGTGAGTGTGCAGTAACTGAATGGAAGAGCTCTGCACAGAGAGCTCCTCTGCAGCTCTGGCTGATTATGATCTAACAGTGGGTGGGGTCCCAGCCATCTCCTTAGATGTGTGAGGTAAGAATGCTGGAGGCATTCACCATCTATGGGTCATTTGTTGCTAAAGAGACAGAGCAGGGTGACAGAACATTCTCTTGTTTTGTAGTCAGCTCACCCTGGTCATCTGACAGGCACAGCTTTCCCCTTTCTCCAAAAAGTAAAATCCAATTGACTCACTACTGCTTTGCTTTTTGGACATTGGCAGCCACCATACATTTGAGATCTTTAAAATTTTCCCATTCCAGGGTATCAGGGAAGAAAGGATTTTGTGAAGTCTAGGACATAGAGCATTGCTGACACATCAAAGGCTAGATGGAAAGTCTACCTAGCTGCCCTGGTGTCCAGCTGGTGATGTTAGTTCCAGGCTGCAGGGAATAATTCCACATTTCTGTTTCTGGTGGGGTGTGCTCCTCAGTGATAGAGGATATGAATGACGTCCTGAAGGATGTTCCAGAAATGAGAGAAGGAAAATCTTTCTTTTACCATAAAGCTTAGCAATCTAATCCTCATGCAAAATGTTTTCTCTACTTTCAAATAGACAAAGAGTAAATTGGCCTTTTGCATATTCTCCAAAAGAGAACAGTTCCCTAGATTAAAAATGGCAATAATCACTCTGTTAGGCAAGCTGCTTGCAAGGAGTTAGCATAAAACTGAGAACGCCAAAATCTCAGTTCAGTTGGAAAGCTCACTTGTAATCTGTAATTCACCTGAATTAAGAGCATACCTTTAATCACAGATATGCACACAAGTGGACTCCCCTTCCTGTCTATGCATCCAGAGGCTCTGAAAGAAATTCTCCTTATAAGGTCTTATGTATATATTCTCTAAATATGTAACATACTATGTGATACACATTAAAAATAACTACATAGTGCATATAAAATTACACACACACACACACATCTCTTTGAATAAGTTAAAATATTTCCCATTCCATCAAAATGCTTGCTTCAAAAAGCTAGGTGCTGGTGGATCATGCCTGTAATCCTAGCTACTCTGCTGACTAAGATCTGAGGATTGCTGGTCAAAGCCAGCCCAGGCAGTTAAGTCCATGAGAACCTTATCTCCAATTAACCACCAGTGGCGCTGTGGCTTAAAGTGGTAGAGCACTAGCCTTGATTGAAAAAGCTCAGGGACAGTGCCCAGGCCCTGAGTTCAAGCTCCACAACAAACACACAAACACACAAACAAACACACAAACAAATAAAATATTTGCTTTAGAACCTGGTGCTAGTGGCTCACTCTGTAATCCTAGCTACTTGGGAGGCTGAGAGCAAGAGAGGGTTGTGGTATGAGGCCAGGACCAGACAGAAAAGTTCGCAAGACCCTATCTCAAAAAATAACCAGCAAAGAATGGGCTGAAGGTATGGTTCAAGAGTTACAACACTGGCCTAGCAACTATAAGGCCCTCTGTTCAAGCTCTAGTGTGGCCAAAAATACATGAATAAATGCTGTATTAGACAGCAAAAATTGGGGGGAGGGGAGATGTATTGAGGTTTGAACTCAGGGCCTCAGATTTGCTATGCAGGTACTCTATCACTTGAGCCATTACTCAGTCCAGACCAAACTTACTTTAGGCCTGTCAAGATCAATAGTTTGTTCCCTCCCAAAGGTTTCCTGGGATTCCTAAGAACACATTACCACTTATACTTTGCAGGACACGAATACCTACTCAATTTCTCTTCCCACACTGGTGCCCAAGAAGCACACACAGCCCTAGTGACAGAGCTATGGCCTTGGGACTGAAGATGAAATCATATTGTCATCTGGTCCTAAAAATGACACAGTAACCAGGATGACAGCCAGACACACGATGAGACAAGAATCTGTGCAGGCAGTTAAACAAAAGGGTAGAGTGTGCAGCCGATTTAACGGGTTTTTAATGTCAGAATCAAGTTTTTGCAGCACTTCACACTTTTAAGGTGTTTCCTAGCTGAGTCTAGGGGATTCATTCTGTGAAGTTAAAGTCTGAAGTTATTCTTAGCACAACCATGTCTGCCTGCCCAATGCTTTCCACCCCAGCCATGGAAGCTGAGGTAGATAGGTGTTTGCCATTCCCAGGACACAGCTTTTCTCAAAATCAGATCTCATCACAGCTAGCCGGGACCCCACGGGTAAGTTTCGTTCTGTACCAGGATATCCTAGAAGCCCCACTTTATAATGATTGCTCCTGTCCAGGCTTTGGTAAGGCAAGTCCACAATACCCTCTCTCGGAAGCCTGCTAACAATACTCTCACCTGGGGATTTTCCTTAGTCCGTCTCCGCATGACAAAGGTTCCCTTATGCGCTGTGAACTTACCCTTTCCAAAGACTTCAGGAGGTTCTGTCTTTCTTTGAGCTTCTGAATACTGATGACAATTTTGTGTCTTGCACCTTTGGTAACGTTCTGTAAATTTAATACATGAAGGTATGCTTAAGAATTAGCTTAGAGACTCTCTCAAAGAGCATACAGTCAGTCAATGTGCTTTGATCACTCTTCCTAAATATTCTATAACTCCATCCGGCTACACATTTAGGACAGACAGACACAGGGCAGCCAGTTTTCCCCCTCACCACAAGATTTCCTCAAAGTCTTAAAAGACAATATTTAAGTCAGATACTCCTTTCTCCCAAGTTCCCCTGGAGGTCCTGAACCCGTCAGATCCTCATGGTATTCACACTTTTCCCATTTGCCCATCTTGAAGGGGTGGGGAAACCCAGTGTGGTCCACATGGAGTACCATCAACAAGGAATATTTTTTTTTTTAGTTTGCAGCCATTAAAAAAGCAAACACAACTGAAAAGAATCTATAATTCACTCATCCCTCCAGGTAGACTTTAGGATTTGCAGATCTGGGGTTGATTTTCATTGTGTAGAGTGGTAGCCTAGGGATTTTGCTAGATATGGGTTGTTAGAGACCCAGCAAATTTCCCAGTTGAGGGCCTTTCCCCCTCCCCTTCTAATCAGGTCTTTAATAAAAATAAATGTCTGTTTAGCTTCAACTTCGGGTTCAAATGAAGTAAATAACGCTGAGAAGATTTTGCCAAGTTCTGACTTTACCCTCTGCCATTTCCTTCTTTCTTTTTTGTTTCTTATTAAGTTGAACAAGTGATGGATTTAAGGTTTTTTCCCCTCAACCCTGACCCAAACACAAAAATGCTCTTAGAAATGTTTCTCATCGACCCCTGGGATATCAGGGAGTGGTAGAGATTCAAAACGTGGTGGGAGAAATATTAGGAAGTGGATCTTAGTGCCTTTCATTCTCTGAGATTGTGCAGTGACTTTAGGCTTTGTCTTGCTCTCAATACTGGTATTCAGCCTAGCCTGCAGAGGTTAACTGAGGGTCCTGGAAAAGCAATGGGAAGCCAGAGGTCTGTGAGGAGGTACACATCCTAACCAGCCATGCTTTCTCAAGGGGAAATAGTATTGGCTGGTGTAGACCATCAATTCTTTAAAATCATTGCTCAAAGGAAACTGAGTCAGTTGAAACATGCAAATAGCATTTTAAACAAGGGAAACAAAGGCATGGGTCAGAGGTCTATTGACTGAAGCACAGCATGGAAGGAGTCATGCTTCATTTCAGGGGTACTGTTGACTGGCCTTTGGCATCCACGCTTGGAGAAAGATGCCCAAGAAGGAAGAGGACCTTTTGTCCGTTTGTAACATGTAGAAGGAAAATGAAATCTGAGACCTGGGAAATCTCATTCTTAATCATCATCTCATGCTCTTCCAGGAGGCTAGAATAAATAAATACTGTGAACTGTTTATTCCAATCTCCATTCAGTCCAGCCTGAGGGATTTTGGAAAAAGCCTTGGGGTTTGTCTGAAGCACGACCTGATGCTTCTGCTGATCTCCATTTAGGAGATAGCTAGTATGTGACCAGGTAGAATGGTCCCTTCCCTAATTCCACCCTCTTCCCATCTCTGCAATCTGTCCTCTTGAAACTCAGCTCCAATTCCAATGAACTTCCTGGGTGCCACCTGAGGCTACAGGCCACTTGGACTTCTGGTAAGACTTGCTGTCCAGGGTCTTCCTACCACTTCCATTGGACTCTGCAGGGAAGAGCCCTGTCTTACAATTTATGTGGGATGTGAATTAGCATCTGGAAATTCCATGGCTTGGGTCCCAACATGGTTGAACATCACCCTCTCTGGGAATGGTCCCCTTAAGCACATACCTGAGCCTCCAGCTGGCACTCAGTGAGGGCCATCATTTCCTCATAGGTCATCTGGGAGAAAAGCGCAGCGTACTTGTGCAGGCGGAGGCTTTTTAACCAGGCTGGAACATCTGTAGTGTAAGATGAGCAAGAGATGGGGAGGAGATGGGAGGAACGAGAGAGGTGACGAAAGACGCGGGAACAGGAAGAAGCAGCGATGTTCAGAAGAAAAAAAGAAAAAGAAAAAGAAACCTTTATGTTATTACTTGCTTAATTCTGGCAGCAAATTATGGGCCACAAGTTTCTGGCTAGCCCTGACATTCTCAGTAATGGTCTCTATGATTCTACTCTAGACTATGAACTGCTTACTCAGGGTCTATAGGCTACAGGGAATCCTCCAGAATTATCCCCCTCCACACCCAATTTATAAATATGTGAGTAATTTGCTGGGAAGGGAAGCATCCATAGCTCCCTGAAGATTAACAAAGGGGTTCATGACCAAAACCATGGTAAGAAATCATCACTAGCTGGGCCACTTCACTGCTGACTTGGAAAGAACTGATCTAGAAAGTTAAAACTAGACACAGTGAGTTTACACCCTCTGGATACTTTCCTTGGAGGGAAAATGCATTTATCTACATGTTTCAGTAATTCCACAGAGGCAAGCAACAGTTGTACCTACAAATAGAGTTGTTGTAATTCATAGCTTGACTCCTTCCCTTTTGCTCCCCTAGATCCAATGGGATAAGGAGCATTCGAGGATCCAACACGTCACTTTTGTGGGATGCCTGCTGTTCATTTCCCCAAGCCATAGAATGTGTCTAGACATAGCTTTGATTTCTTCCTTGAATGCCAACCAAATAACACACCACATCTTGAAAGGTCTAACGATTGGCTAGACCACAGGATAGTACAAATTCCAAAGTCCATCAGAAATAAGCCCTCAGTTTGAGATTCCAGAGTGAAGAACAACAATTTCTGTATAGAATATCCACAGGATTATTACCGTGCTCATTACAAACAAAACAAAAGCATTTTCCCAAGGTCCTTTAAATCCAAAGTTGTTGAGCTGACCTTTGAAAAGTTTCCAGAATCATATTCCCCTACTTCTGGCTTGTTTTATGGCAACATTAAGCCATCAAGCCTAAATCACAGAGCAAGTATGTCATGGGATAGAAACTAGAACTCCAGCCTTCTGAGTCCCAGTTCTTTCCTACATTGAACCAACTTTCTTAAGATAAGGCCCAAATAGCTCATCAGTGGTAGGGCTGAATAAGCAGGTCTGTTAAATACCATTTGTGTTTTCTATGAAGTTGATTCTGTACAACTGATTGCTGAGTTCTTTATTCTGAGATACTGATGAACCATACACATTCCAAAATAAGTGAAAACCTTCCAATTCTTCAATACTTAGAGGAGGTAACTAGGGTTGATGAAAGATGCCGAGACAACTCTGAAATCAGGCTTCATCTGCTCGGTCAGGGAATGTGGCTGGGGATAGTCTCCTAAAACTCAGAGATAGAGGGAGCAATGGTTGGCCTGCCTGAGGGCACTTTTTCATCTGTAGTAATATGAAGGCCAATGAGGAACATTTCTGAGAATTCCCCAGAAAAGAACATCCAATGGCATTTTAAGATCAGACTCAGTTATCTCAGGCTATAAAAGACTGCATTCTATGCTTGGAAACCCTTCAATTTACTGTGACAAGAGGGAGTCCATCTCCTGATACCAACATTAACCAAACACAGACAAAGCTTCCTCATGAACATAGTAGTAACCCTTTATATCCTCCTCAGCTTAAACTACATTGGATGAAGCATCCAGGACTTTGCAGCTCAGGAATCTAGTGCTTTCCCTGATATGTCATCCTGAAGTTATTTTATCTGACTTCATTCTCTCCCGTATTTCTGTTTCTCTTGAAACAATGCTAATGCTTTTGCAGATGGGGACAGGCATAACCTTCACTCCAGCTTTCAGTTCAACCACATGTTACCACTTTGTCACCAGGTTTCATGGTTTTTATTCACATCTTGGAAAATGTCTAAGCTGCTGCTCAAACACTGCCACCTTTATGATTCACAGATGTTTGGGTAGCTCAATGCCACACTAAGGCACAATTCCCCACAGAAAAAGTGTACCATCATCCCATGAACCAAATCTGGACCAGGTGCCCTACTGAAGAGCCACACAAAATCCACTGATGATAAGACAAAGAAAATCCTACCGAATCAGCTATTAAATCATGTTGCAACCAGATGCTATATATCAAGGTAACAAATGAGTCTCTTAAGAGCCAGACATGTGAGGGACAAGTCTTATGTGGCAAGGCTCAGTTTGACAACTGGAATTCTGGATAGATGCATAGAAAAACCTGTCTCATTTAGTCAAAATGCAGGTCATTGGGAATCATTTTCTTGAAAAAAGGCCCTTATAGGACTTCAGAACAGGATAAACTAGGCTTCTTGAGAGTTATTTCTGAATACATTGTTGGGAAATGTAAATTTCTGTGACTTTATGTTCCTGGGGAAGGCACACAATGACACTGTTTGTCATACAGGTGTCTTAGTGCTCAGCTCAATGTTACATACCCAAACACCTTGCCTTCCTACAGTGGCAACCAATGATCCCCAAATCGTAGTTCTTAAAAAAAAATTGCCTACTTTTCTCTCCCTGGTTGGTGAGGCACCCTTCCTTAACAGGAATCAAAACAAAACTCCATGAACCAGAGAACTGAGAACCTTGATCATTTCATTCCCCAAAGGCAGAAATTCCAATAATTCAGGTGCTAAATTCTGTAAGACTGAAAGAACTTGAACTCAAAGCTCAGGTACTCCCTCAAGGTCCACGTGCCACTCTATTGGATGCAATGGTAAAAACAAAAAACCAAATGCTATTCTAACCTCAGACCTTCATTTTTCAATATGGGAACCTGTGGCTATGGTTGGAAGACGCAGGCAAAAGGGAAAAGCAGAGCTGTTTCCCAGAGAAGGTGATAAGTAAATGAGGACAGTGCCCCTTCAGGGACCCCGCCTCAGACTGGTGCATGGCTGTTTAGTTTCATCTGGGTTGCTCCTATTGAAAATATCAATGGAGGGCCCAAATGATTCATTGTGAAAAAGAGAAAGATGCCCTCTGCTATATGCTAGGCTGAATTCCTTGTCAGGTTTGGGAATGCTGAAATATGCTAACTCAACATTTACCAAATGACTTTGATAAGGGTCAAGCTCTGTGAAAATATGTCCTTTTTATCAAGGAACTTTTCATCTAGACAGCACAGCTGACACATACAAAAACAATTATAATAGCTGTCATACAAGTACAGAATACAGCTCCAGTTCTAGGACCAGGTCCTAGGAAGTGAAGAAGAGTTCTTTGCAATTTGCTGCTTAGAATAACAGCAACTTGGGAGCCCCTTGGACTCCCAAGGAAACAATCAGAGAAAGCAAGACCAGCAGACAAGGACAGAGGCAAGAGAGCATCCAAGGTAGAACAAATGCTTGTGGTAGAGAATGGCTAAAGACAAGGTGGGACACAGGCAGGGCAATTAGGTGACCGAGATAGGAAATGTGTAAACACAAGGACAGTAGACATTATCCTGTGGATGATGAATGGCTGTTGAAATCTGACCAGTAGCAGCACGTGCAGCTAAGTACGTTAGAAACATGATGGTTGTCATTAGGAAGGTTGGACAGGACAGTGAGAGAGAAGGCCAAGATGTGAGTTTAGGAACACCATGAAGATGACTTTGGAGAGGGAGCAGAAGAGAAGGAAAAGATGTAAACTGATGGTATGTGAAAGATCAGGAAAGAGCAGAGAGTGAGAAAGATGAAGGTCTGGGCTGGGTGATACAGGAAACACAAGAGGATCAGCAGATTTGAGGAGAGATGGTGAATTCACATTAGATCACTTGAGTGACGCTGCCTTGAGGTCAACCATGAGGAAAAAGTCAGCTACAAACTTGGAGAGAGAGAGAGAGAGGTCTGCACTGAAGAAAAACAACTCGCCTTTTCTATAATTCTTAGTTATCAGTTCAGGGGAGTAGGTGTGTAGGTGAGATTTCTCAGACAAGTAGCATTGAGACTAGGAGAGTTCTATGGCAGAACAGTCCTTTAGAGGAACGTGTAAGAGGTTTCTAGGAGAAAGCATCACCCTCCATGTGAGTGATGGCTGAATCCACGCCATGTCTCCATCCTTTACGAATCTCCTTCTAGTAGACCTTGATGCTGTCCACATTGGGTTTATCCTCTCATGCCCAGTTTTTGATGACAGTGTTACATCTATAATCTATGCTTTAGATCAAGGTTTAAACTGTGCTTGTTTTTATTTCCTTTTCAAATCAGCCATGGAGAGGATCTGTAGCACATACAACTGCTCACCCTGTTGAATGCAATGGTAAAACCCACTACTGTAACTTGAGCTGCGTTTCCCTGACACATGCTGCAGGAATGACTATAAATGTCAGCCAGGCCAACAAGCCATGCAGCACCCAAACATAAAGGAGGAGGTCTACTGTAGAGGGGGACGAAGGGTAGGGTGAACATAGGAATCAACACAAAGAGCAGAAAGTTAGGCACTTCTTTCCCTGGAAGAAAGAGACATGAACAGCCATTTTCTCACATGAGAGACCACATGGGGCTCCTGCTATCTGCAGATGCCAAATTGACCTTCATTCTCTACTGAGAGTCAAGCTAATCTCAACCACCTTCTCCTTCTGAGAAAGGGATACCTTCTTGGTTTCTGAGGGAGAGAAGAGGAAAGCTAGCTGAAGGATAAGCAGGCATCACCTCTTCATTGTTCAAGTGAGAGGTAAAACACTGCAAGAGCAAAGAGCAGATATTTAGTGATGTCATCAAGCTTACCAAAACATGCTTTTATTTCTAGTTAGAAACAAATGAGCAGCCTGGGCTGTTGTACCCACTGAACAAAAGAAAGGAGCTCTGGGCATCTGGTCCCTTTGGAGCCGAAGTCTCCTGGAATGTGCGTCTTGATTCTGGGGAGTGTCCATGTGGGTCCCCAGGAAGGCCTTGTGGACATATATAGGGGAGGGTCTTGGAAGGCCAAGTTTGAGGTGAAGTACCCACTTCAACATGTTAGATGCAGACAGAAGACTGTTTTTCCTTGCCACTTCCAT